ACACCTAAACATACCAGAATATGATCACATAATATATTACAACTGCTTTGACCAATAGTGCCTGTCTCAATGTTTAAACCCATCCAACCTGACATCTATACATACAGTAAGTACATCATCTAAAGATTATGATGTGTATGTCTTTATACCTTGCAGGGAAATTCTCTCTCTGGTGTGCTTTTTCATGTCATTCTGAGAACCCTTAGCACTACTTGTGATGGGATTCTAATGATTACAATCTAATCATGGGTTCTCTTATTCCTAATGTTGTATCACAGCACCATCTAGTGGTTGTAAAGTTGTATTACTCTACCCACTCACACAGTCAACGTTTCCTGAACACTTATGCAAACACACTGGCCAGATCATATCTATGGTCAAAACTTGTCAAATATACAGTGGGGAAAAAAAGTATTTAGTCAGCCACCAATTGTGCAAGTTCTCCCACTTAAAAAGATGAGAGAGGCCTGTAATTTTCATCATAGGTACACGTCAACTATGACAGACAAATTGAGGAAAAAAAATCCAGAAAATCCCATTGTAGGATTTTTAATGAATTTATTTGCAAATTATGGTGGAAAATAAGTATTTGGTGTGCTATGATGAAAATTACAGGCCTCTCTCATCTTTTTAAGTGGGAGAACTTGCACAATTGGTGGCTGACTAAATACTTTTTTTCCCCACTGTACATTTTTTCATATGCACTTAAGGGCAGAAATGTGCTACTTACACAGTGAATGTGCTATACTTACCTGAAAACTATTGTTGTGCCCAAAGCCGCACCCACGTATTATTGTGCACTACTTTTGACCAGGGCCCTTGGCAAAAGTAGTGCACTATATAGGGAATAGGGTGTGATTTCAGACACAACCTATGACTAGTGTAGTAGTAGAGAGAGACACTCACCTGTTTGATGGGTATGGCCCTTCCACTGCCTATGCTATCTGTTTTACTGTCAGTGTTCTTTGCCTGTTCACTGTTGGCTTTCCGTGACTGCAAGGAAACAAGAGAGTCAGTCAGTCAGTCACTGGAACAAACCATGGCAAGGGGGAGATGGGGTGGGCGTTGAGTGAGGTGTGTGTATCAAGGTGAGCATGGGGGTCAGATGTAAGAATGTTTGGAGGTTGGGGTGTGTGTGTCTGGAGAGGGGTTTGGGTGGCGGACTCAACATAGCAAAACAAAATTCTCAACAACAAAAGCTTTGAAAATAAACAAACAAGCAGACCAGCGTAACATACAGCGGTAACATCGACGTGCGTGCAGTAATAAAAAAAGAACAGACCAGAACATAACATCTCAACACATAATAGGTAGTAGACCAAAAGACGACATTGAGTCATGACTCAGTCCTGTAAACCCATGGGAGATCCATCCCTCTGTTAGGCCCCCAGTGGACCCTTCCAGATCCGAGAGGAACACCCCTCTGTTAGGCCCACAGTGGACCCTTCCAGATCCGAGAGGAACACCCCTCTCTCAGGCCCACAGTGGGCCCTTCCACATCAGTCCAAATCAAGTTTTAAGGCCAGCTTGGGCTTTTTGCATAGATTCACTGGCGTCAAGTTGTAACGCAATATAAAGTAGAAAAGGCAGGTTAGGGGGCGAGAAGGTTATACAAGACGGACAAATAACGTTTTCATATAGGAATTTCATATAGCATTTCTTTCCAACATTCCTATTGAAACACCAGGAGGGAAAATGCATTCAAGTCATCCACAGTGTTAGGGTTAGAAGTACAGGTGCTGTTAAACATGTTCATTATAAACGACAGTGGAACCCATCAGTGAACAGGAGCAGCTGCACATTTCACCAACACATGCTGTAAACACATGACATTTGAAATGACAGACTGTGGAGGCAAAATAGTCAAGCAGTGAACATACAGTATTATCCCATTTTATGACAAACAGAGTACTTGTACACAGAAGATCCCCAAAGCACAGACTAACAGGTGAAGTACAGGAAATATCACTCATAACCAACAGACAAGACTGTTATGATCTCACTCAGAACAGGATGAAGGGATGCCCAATCAATCGCCAATGGAGAGAGGTAGAGTCTGAGTTCAAGTAAACCAACTCTGGTTTATCATTTTCAACATTTTATTGTTTTATCATTTTTGTTTCTATACAGACACCATACAAATCAAGTCACAGGTTTCACTTCAAAATAAGATCAACAGAATGAGCCAAACATTGCAGTTCCCACAAAATATAGGATGGACAATAAAGGCATATATTTTTAAATATATTTCATATATATATATCATATACTTTCTATAGAGTACCATTGTAAATTAAATACAATACAAGATATACAGCAGTCTTATATTTTTCAATACGTAAATGATATAAAAGCGATTATGGAATAAGTTCATAATCTTCATAATCTTCATACCAAAACCAAATTGAAATAAATTAATAAAAAATAAAACAAGTAAATAAATATCAATAATAAAGGATGGAGAAATTAATCATTCTAAATCATGGTCAAATTAAATAAATAGAAACTACATTCATACAAGTCGGTGCAATCCATTTGCCATTCGTTATTCTTTATTCTGTATGATACCACTTCTCCCTGATGCCCTACTCTTATTTTTATGAAGGCCTTCATAAAACTACCCAACATCACCCCTAACATACCCTTATTTAAGTTTACCACATATTCAAGTCCATTCAAGACATTCCTTGAAATGAAAGAGAAATGAAAGAAAACCGATGAAAAGAAAGAGGGAAGTAAACAACTGAACATACTTCACACCTCTAGTTAGGGTTGCAGAATTCCAGGAACTTTCAATAAGTTCCCTGGTTTTCCAGAAGTCCTGATTGGAGGATTCTGGATTTCCTTCTTATTATCTCCTGATTCCGGAATCCTCCAACCGGGATTCCAGGAAAACCAGGGAATGTATTGCAACCTACCCTCTAGTCCTCGTTTTATGGCAAAAGGCAGTGTGATGTCATGTAAGAGGGAAGTGTCCTTTGAGTGGTTGAATTATAATTCCAAGCATGACTTGACTGTACTGTACACAGACTGTTTGTAAGGGGGGTGGGGGGCATTTCCAGCAGAGAAGAGTCCCTACATTCTGTCACACTCCAGAGTGTGTGAATCTGACCGTTTTTACTTTGAGCATTAACTAACTCCCAAATCTACATAACAAACTTCCAACGTTACTTGTTGCTTTGTCACAAAGCTCTATGGTTTCTATAGTGCACCTCCTGACGGAACCATTATGCATTACCCAGGATGCAAAGGGGGCACTAGGGTTAAGCAGCAAAAACTCTTAACGCTCTAGTCCCCAGTCCTTACTCCTCCCTATTGGGAATGACAGGCCAGAGGGACAACTCATTTAGGGGTTCAATGTGGTTTGATTTTTGATACCACAGAGCTCTTCTAATGGGGAAGGAGTTAGAAAGCCCTTTTTGATGAAGAAAGGTTGGGAACAGTAGCACAAATCTGCAAATATCGGAAAAAAAAACATTCCAGACCGTCTTTTTTTGTTTGTTTCCTTAAGGGTGGACATCCAGTAAAACGTAGAAAAGGAGCTAAAGGAACTAAAAACATGTCAACAAAATGGCCGACAATTCTACATGAGTTGATGGCTATGAGGTTTAGAAAAAGGGGCAAAAAATATATATATGCTAAAAGGTACTCCTCAATTCGTCATGACGATGCTTATGAACATAAAGAAAGAACAAAAATGCCTCAAACCTATTGATGTGGTTACTAAACCATGGAAGCACTAGGAAAGGATTTCTGTGTACTCAGCTGACACTTAGTGGCCATTACTAGTCATGACAGAAGTGGGTTGAGAGTGATGATTATGAGACTGAACTGACTGGTGACATGGTGGATAAACCAACGTCTTTCTGAGTAAAGCTTTTAGGACCTTTGAGAAATAAAATCACCCTAAAACTATTATCAAAAGCTCCAAAAGAGGCAGATTCACCTGTCAATTTGCAATGCACTTTAAAGCTAAATGTCAAAAAAAAATTCAAGGTAGCCTATTTCAGCAAATTAAAATATTAAAATGGTGCTCAGTGCCCACTAAATCTATAGTCAGTAACCTAAATCAATGATATTCATATTTGTAATAAAACATTTTTTAGCTTTTGAGATTACTTCAAAGCACTTCAGATCCCCCAAATACTGATTAGACAGCATGACAAGTCATCAGATTGTGTTCTGGGATAAATGGTAGTTTAAGTGGTCACTGTGGTATTCTACCCTTTCCCTCATTGACCTTTGACTAGCGATGGAGAAGAGTAATAAATTGTGCTTTATAATGTATCATAGAGCTATGGTCATATTAATTAAATCTCCAAACTGAAATATACCAAACTGAAATATATTGGGAAAAGGTGTCTGAATATTCTAACTAGCAAGTACAAGTGGTTTCATGAATATGACCGCAAAGTTAGCCACAGTGTTGTTTCTAATTAGTTTGAGTGCTTTTGAAAGGTCTATCTGGTCAAAAAGCCCACAAATCACTTTGAAGAAAAGAAAAGCGAAACCAAAAGGGGTGGGAGAGAAATAGACACTATTGTGTTGTATAATCTATTAAAATAACCCATGATGTTAAGGCTTTGTCTCGATCCTGACTACAACTTTCCAACTGAATAAAAACTGGTTAGGGATCACAGTTACCCACTACTATGATTAGAAGAGGTGGCATTGCACGTTTTATAATACTGCCTTTGTAACTATGTGTGGCCAGAGAGAGATGTTCAGGACTACTGTATTGTGTGCCGAATGTAAATAATTCTGTGTCCTCAAGAGGTCCTCTCAACTGAGATTGATGAAAAAGCAAGGTGAGAAGGTATAGTCTTAAAGTGAATGCTTGGTAAACAAAACTATTTCGTTTTTTCTCTTGTATTGTAAAAATGGCAATGTCTTCCTTGCTCTTGAAGTGTCATTTGGGATACGGAGAGTCGTCGACCCCCTCCCCCCTCCACCCCTCTTCCGCTCCTCCCTGGCCCTCCCACCCTCCCGCTTGCCGCTCCTCAGAAGGTCATGAGCTGAAACTCCCGCTCGGCCTGCCATTCGGGCACCCACACAGGATAGGTGGCATGCTTGGGCATCTCCATGACGCAGACGGGCAGAGGCTCATTTCTCTGGTGGACAGGGTTAGTCACTACCTAGCAGGGGGAGGGAGAAGACAAGGGGAGCTACTAACTGACACACAGCCTGCTCTGCTGCCCAGAGCCTGGGGTAGGGGGAGATGGGAGAGGTTAGAGAGAGGGAGGATGTGGGAAGGCTGGGGTCAGGGTTGAGCTTGGTTAGAGAAAGGGATGGGGCTGGGGTTAGGGGAGAAGCGAGAGGTTAGAGGTTAGAGAAAGGGGAGCTGGGGAAGGGATAAAGGTAGATTGGAGCAGGAGGAGGCTGGGGTTAGGGGAGAAGGCTGGGAGGTAAGGAGGCTGTGAAAAGAACAGTGGTTAGTGCAAAGGTCTCAAAGGTAGGGAAGGTTAGAGCTGTGTCACAGGATTGAATACGGGAAATTGGGGTAAGGATAAAGGTTTAACTAGGGCTATCATAAGTATAGGTAATGGGAGCAGGGCAAGCTGTGGTAAGTACACTGGTAGTGGCCAGAGGTCAATGGGCTAAGGTCAGAGCTGGAATATCTAGGGTAGGGATACCTACAGTAAGATAGGGGTGGAGGGGGAGAGAGGGAGAGCATGCATTATCTGACTCTGTAGTGACTGAAAGGTTTATGGTCCTGACTTTTAGTTTAGCTTAGTGTGGCCGGGTTAGGGAAGTGGCATTGCTGGCTTTAGTGAGGTGTAGCCTTGCCTCACCCCTTCTCTCCCCCAATAGGGAGTCACTGCAAAGAAAGGATCTAGTAAAAATAAGAGGGGTAGGGGAGGGACGGAGGCCAAAGATTGAGACAGTGGGGCCAGGAAAAGGGTATAAGTGAAAGATGAGTAACTCATGCGCTCATTTACTTCCAATTGGAAAGTAAAGAAAAATGTTACCAACATAAAAAAGGTTTAAAAAAGCTGAGATATTTCTCCACAGTGCTTATAGCTTTGATATTTGCTTTAAAATAAGAAATTTAAAAAATAAATGACGTTTTTTTTCATAGTATGGGTTCAAAATACAACCCAGGTTGCAACCAACAACCATATTGTTATTATTTTTTGTCCCCTTTGCCCATTGTAGTTGCTTGTATAAAGAGTAAAGCCAGGAAGGCTTTTTGTGCCTGTATCTGAGACAGACAGAAATGGTAGCTTCGTCTTAGTCTCCCTCTGGTGGACAGTATGTGTGTGTGCGGTACTGCGCCCTCTAGTAATGTGAGTGGGTGTTGCTCTGCATCAGCTGCCGCATACTTACTGTGAAGATGTTGGAGCGGCGCTTGGACTGCTTGCGGATGGGTGTGGGCGTGTTGGAGGCAGCAATGGTCTCGATGCGCATCTCTCTCTGGCTGATGCTGGGAGTGGAGGGCACCGAGGAGGAGTAGTCACTGAACGCACCCCCGCCGTTTGCCGACTGGAGGGAGGGAAGAGAGACCAAGATGGAGAGAGAAAGAGAAAGAGAGAAAGAGAAAAAGATGAGAGAACAGACTGGTCAGTTAAAGAAGGCAGGATCTGGGAAAGCGGAAACACCATAGATACTGTTGTTTATGTAGACTCCTCTACGCCCTTTATCTTCAGTAGTGTACAGCCTATCTAGATCTTCAGTAGTGTACAGCCTATCTAGATCTTCAGTAGTGTACAGCCTATCTAGATCTTCAGTAGTGTACAGCCTATCTAGATCTTCAGTAGTGTACAGCCTATCTAGATCTTCAGTAGTGTACAGCCTATCTAGATCTTCAGTAGTGTACAGCCTATCTAGATCTTCAATAGTGTACAGCCTATCTAGATATTCAGTAGTGTACAGCCTATCTAGATCTTCAGTAGTGTACAGCCTATCTAGATCTTCAGTAGTGTACAGCCTATCTAGATCTTCAATAGTGTACAGCCTATCTAGATCTTCAGTAGTGTACAGCCTATCTAGATCTTCAGTAGTGTACAGCCTATCTAGATCTTCAATTGTGTACAGCCTATCTAGATCTTCAGTAGTGTACAGCCTATCTAGATATTCAGTAGTGTACAGCCTATCTAGATCTTCAGTAGTGTACAGCCTATCTAGATATTCAGTAGTGTACAGCCCTATGTCTTGCTGCATGTACCAATTTCACAGAAGAAGCTCTTTTTTTCTGACCATGTAAACTGACCAGGAACAACTCAGGGACCTAGTAATAGCCTAAAACTAGGTCCCTGAGTCAGGTTATGTGACCAGGAAAACTCCTGGCCTTAGTTAGAAATATTCTATCAGGGGGTGTGGCCTCACCTGGTTAATATGCACAGAGGGGATGGATGCGTTGGGGACTGATGAGTGGCTGGGAGAATTGGGCAGGGACTTGCACGGACCAATAGACAGCTGCTGCTTTTTCCTCAGAGCCACCACCTTCTGGGCAACTGGGGTGGAGAGAATGAGACACAGACAAACAACAGAGAGTTAGGAATCAACAACAACAAGTGGTCAGTCGACGACTCTGTTATAAAGTACAATGACTTTCAGGATAGGTATAACTCAGGATAACTCCACAATGTCAACTCTAATACAGTGGCTTGCGAAAGTATTCACCCCCCTTGGCATTTTTCCTATTTTGTTGCCTTACAACCTGGAATTAAAATCGATTTTTGGGGGGTTTGTATCATTTGATTTACACAACATGCCTACCCCCCCAAAGTCAATACTTTGTAGAGCCACCTTTTGCAGTAATTACAGCTGCAAGTCTCTTGGGGTATGACTCTATAAGCTTGGCACATCTAGCCACTGGGATTTTTGCCCATTCATCAAGGCAAAACTGCTCCAGCTCCTTCAACTTGGATGGGTTCCGCTGGTGTACAGCAATCTTTAAGTCATACCACATATTCTCAATTGGATTGAGATCTGGGCTTTGACTAGGCCATTCCAAGACATTTAAATGTTTCCCCTTAAACCACTTGAGTGTTGCTTTAGCAGTATGCTTAGGGTCATTCTCCTGCTGGAAGGTGAACCTCCGTCCCAGTCTCAAATCTCTGGAAGACTGAAACAGGTTTCCCTCAAGAATGTCCCTGTATTTAGCGCCATCCATCATTTCCTTCAATTTTGACCAGTTTCCCAGTCCCTGCAGATTGATGCTGCCACCACCATGCTTCACTGTGGGGATGGTGTTCTCGGGGTGATGAGAGGTGTTGGGTTTGTGCCAGACATAGCGTTTTCCTTGATGGCCAAAAAGCTCAATTTTAGTCTCATCTGACCAGAGTACCTTCTTCCATATGTTTGGTGAGTCTTCCACATGCTTTTTGGCAAACACCAAACGTGTTTGCTTATTTTTTTCTTATTATCTTTGGTCTCTTTGTTGCCTCTCAGATTAATGCCCTCCTTGCCTGGTCCGTGAGTTTTGGTGGGCGGCCCTCTCTTGGCAGGTTTGTTGTGGTGCCATATTCTTTCAATTTTTTAATAATGGATTTAATGGTGCTCCGTGGGATGTTAAAAGTTTCAGATATTTTTTTATAACCCAACCGTGATCTGTACTTATAATATGCCATTTAGCAGACGCTTTTATCCAAAGCGACTTACAGTCATGTGTGCATACATTTTTACGTATGGGTGGTCCCGGGGATCGAACCCACTACCCTGGCGTTACAAGCGCCGTGCTCTACCAATTGAGCTACAGAGCACGCTACCAAGCTACTTCTCCACAACTTTGTCCCTGACCTGTTTGGAGAGCTCCTTGGTCTTCATGGTGCCGCTTGCTTGGTGGTGCCCCTTGCTTAGTGGTGTTGCAGACTCTGGGGCCTTTCACAACAGGTGTATATATACTGAGATCATGTGACACTTAGATTGCACACAGGTGGACTTTATTTAACTAATTATGTGACTTCTGAAGGTAATTGGTTGCACCAGATCTTATTTAGGGGCTTCATAGCAAAGGGGCTGAATACATATGTACGCACCACTTTTCCGTTATTTATTTTTATAACTTTTTTACATTTCACTTCACCAATTTGGACTATTTTATGTATGTCCATTTTTGTTTCTTTTTTTTCTCCTTTATTTAACTAGGCAAGTCAGTTAAGAACAAATTCTTATTTACAATGACGGCCTACACTGGCCAAACCCAGACAACGCTGGGCCAATTGTGCGCCGCCCTATGGGACTCACAATCACGGCCGGTTATGATACAGCCTGGAATCGAACCAGGGTGTCTGTAGTGACTCCTCAAGCACTGAGATGCAGTGCCTTAGACCGCTGCGCCACTCGGGAGCCCATTACATGAAATCCAAATTAAAATAAATTTAAATTATAGGCTGTAATGCATCAAAATAGGAAATACTTTTGCAAGGCACTGTATTCCTTACCAATTTCCTTTCCAATGTATTTTCCATTGACATTACCATTCAATAGAGAGTATGAATGGCTCAATCATCTGCTAGGGAAGATTGGATACTGGATAGCAATAGAAACACTATGGGTGGACGTTGGCCTCTACAACGGTACACTGAAGACCAGCATTCTGTACTCCTGATCCACATTTTTGTCCCAGCACTGACACACCCCATTCAGCTACAAAGTTAATCAAGGGATTGGAGATTAGTTGATTAATTGAAATGGTTGCGTTAACACTAGTCCAGGACCAGAAATGAAGTACTCAGTGACATGATGGCCTAGCTACAGTATGTCCACAGTGCCCAATGACTCAGCCCTCACCATCCTGGAAGACTCGTTCCACATTGAGGCCATAGGTAGAGCAGGTCTCGTAGTAGGTGGAGCGCTTCAGGTCGTTGGACAGCTTCCTGGCCCGCGAGTCATCGATCACTCTGGGGTTGGCAGCACTGATGGCATCTGGGGAGAGACAAAAAGCACCAACAAGACTGTAGTCACTTTGACTAATATATGTCCTTTTGATTTGAGAAAATGTCATTTGGGGGATTCTGTATATGAAAATCCACACTAAAGTCTCAAGTCTATGCTAAAACTAAGGCCCAGAGTTGTTCCTGTTCAGGGCACGTAGTCAGGGTCAGGAAAAATTCCCAGCCCTACTTTATGTCAGGTGATTTATGTCAGGTGTATGGTAACAACTGGCTACCGCTAAGCCACAAACTACCACTTTTGCCCCATGTCTAACATTATGTTTTTCTTTGTATACGCATTGTGATTGGTCCCTTGAAATGTATAAAAGCCTCATTCTGTTTTACTTCTGTAAAAACCCTGATGAAGACCAAATGCCGAAACGCGTTGGATCAACTTTTAGCTATAAAGAAGCGTTTTTATTTAATTCCATTGTCCTTGAAGTGTTGCTGAATCTCCCTTCTCCTTCAGTATGGGATGAAACAAACAATCCAAACAATATCCATACCTTAAGGGACATGCCTGGTTAAATCAAGGTTCAAAATAAATACCTTGTGTCCCGACCAGGACCATGGGGACCTCTGCTGTGTTCCTGTAGCTGGACAGACGCAGGAAATAGTTGTAGACTGTCTGGAAACTGATCTCATCCTCCAGACTGAAGACAAACACCACAGCGTCTACCCACGCTGAAAACTGGAGGGGACACACAGACCAAACACAAGAATAGGCTTGGGATGATTCAACGCATGAAAAAAAGCACCAACATACATACAGCTCTGGAAAAAATTAAGAGACCACTGCAAATATTTCTTAAATCAGCATCTCTACATGTATGACAGCCATTCCATTACAGTGTCTGTTGAATTCCAACACAGGCACACCTCATTCTACTGAATTAGGTACTGATTAGGTGATCATCTGAACCAAATCTTATTTAATGAGAAAAAGTATAAAAACCACTGCTGTGGTCATCACTATCCTCTTGCAATAGGACCAGCTGGATGGCAAAAACAGTGCTAATAGTACCTCAAAAGTAATATTAATCAAAGAATAACTATTGACCATGCCACAAGAGTTGAAAAGGAAAGTTTTGAGTGAGGAAAAGAAGGGTTCAATTCTGGCTTTACTGGCAGAGGGATACAGTAAGCGTCAGGTTGCTTCCATCCTTAAGATTTCAAAGACGGCGGTTCATAAGAACAAGGTCAAGAAGCAGACGTTGGGGACAACAAAGCTACACACCGGCAGAGGGCGAAAACGACTCTCTATTGACCGGGATGACCGCCAACTCATTCGAATGTCACTCAACAACCGTAGGATGACATCAAGTAAACTACAAAAAGAATGGCAAACGGCAGCTGGGGTGAAGTGCACAGCGAGGACGGTTCGAAACAGGCTCCTAGGGGCAGGGCTGAAGTCGTGCAAAGCTATATAAAAGCCCTTCATCAATGAGAAGCAAAGAAAAGCCAGGCTGAGGTTTGCAAAAGACCATAAGGATTGGACCGTAGAGGACTGGAGTAAGGTCATCTTCTCTGATGAGTCCAATTTTCAGCTTTGGTGGCAGCATCATGCTGTGGGGTTTTTCAGCACCAGGGACTGGGAGACTAGTCAGGATAGAGGGAAGGATGATCAGAGCAAAGTACAGAGAGATCCTTGATGAAACCTGCTTCAGAGCACTCAGGACCTCAGACTGGGGTGAAGGTTCACCTTCCAACAGGACAATGACCCTAAGCACACAGCCAGGACAACGCAGCAATGGCTTCGGGACAAGTCTCTGAATGTCCTTGAGTGGCCCAGCCAGAGCCCGGACTTGAACCCGATCGAACATCTCTGGAGAGACCTGAAAATAGCTGTGCAGCAATGCTCCCCATCCAACCTGACAGAGCTTGAGAGGATATGCAGAGAAGAATGGGAGAAACTCCCCAAATACAGGTGTACAAAGCTTGTAGCGTCATACCCAAGAAGACTCAAGGCTGTAATCGCTGCCAACGGTGCTTCAACAATGTACTGAGTAAAGGGTCTGAATACTTATGTAAATATGATATTTCCGTTTTTGCTTTGTCATTATGTGGTATTGTGTATAGATTGATGAGGGGGGAAAAACAATTTAATGAATTTTAGAATAAGGCTGTAACGTAACAAAATGTGTGAAAAAGTAAAGGGGTTTGAATACTTTCCGAATGCACTGTATATATTTGGGTGTGGGCACTGTCTGGGCCTGGGAGGACCAGAGTGGGTCCTCATCAAGGGAATTGGGTATCCAGAGCGGTTTAACTTGTGCATAAGATGTATCAACAAAAACATTGTTAAAGAGAGAACCAGCTTGTGAGAATTTAAGAGATATAGGCATTTATAATGAGGTCTTTTACATTCAAATAAATCTAGCCCTATTGAGATGTTCACATAAAAATTAATTGCAATCAATTCCTCTTGGTGAACCATAACCAGCTGAAACAAAATTATATTATGAATCTCCTGATGAGGTTTTTGAATGAATAACCACAGCAATTTAATGACAACTTAATGAATAAAGTTCACCTTTGTAACAGCCTTGACGTATGCATTACTCTGTCTGACTCAATATGATTAGCATGCAAAGCAATTCCCTTTTTTTTGGTGGTGGCTTCAGTTCAATTTTTGTGCAGAAGAGGGTAGTGTAGCAAAAGCAATTTAATGCAGGGCATGTGTTATTGTGTTAACGCCTGTTTCGCCAGTTACAAGGGGGAATATCAATGAAATCTCATATATGGCTATTACAAACCTGTAACCCAGGTTATCGGAAGGTGGAACCTGCTTTCTCTTCCACCATTACACAAACCTAATCTATATACTGTATCTCTTAGTGCATCACCAGGGAGAGAGGAAGAGGAAGAGGTTTCCCTCGGGCAGCAGAATGATGTCATCATAATCACAATAGCTTCTAGGAAAGTGGTTAAGGAGGAGAGAGAACCGTGCCCGAGCGCTAACAGTGTAACAACCCCTTCCCTACCTCGCCTTCACCTCCTTCCTCCATTCAGTCATTCAGCAGCGTTCACATCTATCGCTCCTGAGCCCCAGGGGAATGAATCAGACCTAGGTTCAAATACTATTTTAATTAATTTAAAATACTGTATCTGTGCTTGATTGAGCTTACTTGTTGCAATGGAGCCAATAGAATAGTCACAAATGCGCAACCCCCGCCCACCTGGCACTCCAGACAGGTACCCAGCTAACAACAAATGTTCCCTTAAGAGTCTCATTAAGTCATTAACTAACATTTTCATAGGAATGTTCCCGTGATGTGCAAGGAACGTTTCAAAGAGACTTGTCAAATAGAATTTACCCAGAACTGGTTACCATTTTCTCAGAATTTAAGATATTAATGTTCAAGACACGTTTCATGGTAACGTTGCAAGAACATTCATGTGTCCAGTTTTTTGTGGGTTAGAAGAATATTCCAACAACGTCACACTAAACATACACAGAACATGGTTGCCATGTTCTCAGAATATAAGATATTAATGTTCAAGACACGTTTCATGGGAACGTTGCAGGAACATTTCTGTGATAGTCCCAAATAAACGTTATACAAAAAAAAAAAAAGTACATTACACGTCACGCCTTGTTACTGTTGCCAAGCCAATCAAGGCCCTGATTGGTGAACCACTGGTCCATTCATAACTCTGTCAGTTGGCAAGGTTAGGGATACTCACACACACTGCTTTTAACATAGTGTTCTCAACTTACATATTTGACACACTTTGACATATACTGAACAAAGATATAAAGGCAACATGTAAAGTGTTGGTCCCATGTTTCATGAGCTAAAATAAAAAATCCCAGACATTTTCAATACGCACAAAAAGCTTATTTCTCTCAAATTGTGTGCCCAAATTTGTTTACATCCCTGTTAGTGAGCATTTCTCCTTTGCCAAGACAATCCATCCACCTGACAGGTGTGGCATATCAAGAAGCTGATTAAACAGCATGATCAATACACAGGTGTACCTTGTGCTTGGGACAATAAAAGGCCACTCTAAAATGTGCAGTTTTGTCACACAACATAATGCCACAGATGTCTCAAGTTTTGAGGGAGTGTGCAATTGGCATGCTGACTGCAGGAATGTCCAACAGAGCTGTTGCCAGATAATTTAATGTTCATGTATCTACCATATGCCGGCCTCACAACCGCAGACTACGTGTAGCCACGCCAGCCCAGGACTTCCACATCCAGCTTCTTCAACTGCGGGATAGTCTTGGGGGAGGGGGTGCTGAGGAGTATATCTGTCTGTAATAAAGCCCTTTTGTGGGGAAAAACTCATTCTGATTGGCTGGGCCTGGCTCCCCAGAAGGTAGTCCTGGCTCCCAAGTGGGTGGGCCTATGCCCTCCCGGCCCACCCATGGCTGTGCCCCTGCCCAGTCATGAAATCCATATATTAGGGCCTATTTTATTTATTTCAATTGACTGATTTCCTTCTATGAACTGTAACTCAGTAAAATCATTGAAATAGTTGCATGTTGCATTCATATTTTTGTTCATTGTAGATTGTTAAAATTGTACATTTTCATTTATACAGTAATTATTATTCAACATGGCCTCACCTGGGATTTGAACCAGGTCTGGGTCAGGGATCGGTTAATCTGACTATTCTCATCATTGATTTGATTTACTTATTTCAGCAATTTAAGTGCTTTTTGTATAGTTGTCTAATGTTGGTGGGGCTTGTTAACCCGTTTTTTAATGATATGCCTGAAACATTATGATCAATAAAATCTTTTTTTTCATGAGTGTACTTTTAACAGAGCTGAGATTTACTTAAAAGTGCATTCACCCTATTGCTTACACCTATCAAGTTGTTTCATCTACATAAGTGCCCAGGAGCGCAACTTTGGTTTTCCAGTCAGATAAACACTCCAAACAGCCTACCCGACTCCTCGGAGGCGTCCACATGGTCCTAAAGCACACTGTTGCCTCATTTTGTATCACATTCCAATAATAAAACTGGGGGGGACAAAAAATGCAATTTCAGAATGTTAAAGTTGCGCCCCTTTAAGTGCCTATAGAGGAGGGGTTAGGGTTTCTTCTGGACAGGGCCTAACTATACTGGCCTAATAAGCACATGGCCTAGAGAATTCCCTTATTAGGTCAGTGGTTAGAGCATTTGACATTGTTGCTGGTGGCCTGGGTTCGAGACCCGCTAGGGGAGTCTCCCTACTTTCACATTCATAGGAATATACAGTATGTTAATGTTAACAGTTACAACACACCTATCTGATCTAATTAAAATGTGTTTGTCAATGACACGTGTTATAGATTTTAAACATTCTATAGAGTTCTCTATAGAAGTAGCCCTTTACACTCGTACCCGTCTACGGGTTGAAAGTGGCAGATTTGGGCACTGATAAACGCCTAAATTGGAACCCAGTGGCTGTCCATTAACATGCTATACATAACGTCAGAGCTCTGGCTCTGCGCTTCACAGCGCTGTATGGGTTTTGACTGACAGACGTTCTGAACTTCAGCACCTCGCGCGACAAGAAGTTGCCCCCATTCTTCCCGCTAATTGGGCAACTTTTACGAATTTTGGGTTGTCTGAGTGAAAGAAATGGTAGAAATTAAGAGGAATCTATGTATTTTGAAAGATGAGACGAATTGGTACAATTTATGGCAAACAATAATGCAGGCACTAGGGATGGGAGTGTGAGCATGCAGGTCTGGGAAGATGAGATGTAGTCGTTGTTTGTGTGTGTCTGTAAGTTGTTGTTCGTATGTGTATGTGTATGTTTGCAACTGGTTTGGAGAAAAATACAAAAATGAAGAAAAAAAATATTATAAAAAAATGAAAGACAAGATGTTGAGGATTATAATAAATACCACTTTGATGTACACACACACTCACCATTTACGCTGCTGCTACTCTGTATATCATACAATGAGTGTACAAAACATTCCATGACATAGCTTTCACCTGGTCAGTCTATGATCCCTTATTGTTAAATCCACTTCAATCAGTGTAGATGAAGGGGAGGAGACAGGTTCAAGAAGGATTTTTAAGCCTTGAGACATGGATTGTGTATGTGTGCCATTCAGAGGGTGAATGGGCAAGACATAAAATTGAAGTGCCTTTGGTAGTATGGTAGTAGGTGCCAGGCGCACTGGTTTGAGTGTGTCAAGAACTGCAACGCTGCTGGGTTTTTCAACCTTATCGGGGCATTGGAGTCAACATGGGCCAGAATCCCTGTGGAACGTTTGACACCTTGTAGTCCATGCCCCAATGAATTGAGGCTGTTCTAGGGGCAAAAGGGGTGCAACTCAATATTAGGAAGATTTTCCTAATGTTTTGTACACTCAGTGTATATCCTGATGTCTAGTCACCTTACCCCTATACATATCTATTTTGATCACTCCAGTATCCCTGCACATTGCTTCTTACTTCGTGTTTTTCTTATTTCTATTTCTCATGTGTTTTTGATCTACCTTATGTTATTTTTAGTGCTACATTGATATTAATTACTGCATTGTTAGGTTTGGAGCTTGCAAGAAAGGCATTTTACTGTACTTCACGTGACATTAAAACTTGAAACTTGAAAAAGTTCCTCAATGGCACAGCTAGGAGAGCTCAAGAAAGCACCTTATAGGGCCTCCCGAGTGACACAGCGTTCTAAGGCACTGCATCGCAGTGCTTGAGGTGTCACTACAGACCTGGGTTCGATCCCAGGCTGTGTCACAATTGGCCCAGCGTTGTCCGGGTTAGGGGAGGGTTTGGCTGTCCGGGATGTCCTTTGGGTGGTGGACCATTCTTGATACACACGGGAAACTGTTGAGGTTGAAAAACCCAGCAGAGTTGCAGTTCTTGTCTTTGTCCCATCGCACTCTAGCGACTCCTTGTGGCGGGCTGGGCGCCTGCAAGCTGACTTCGGTCGCCAGTTGTACGGTGTTTCCTCCGACACATTGGTGCGGCTGGCTTCCGTGTTAAGCGAGCAGTGTGTCAAGAGGCAGTGTGTCAAGAAGTGTCGTGTTTCAGAGGACGCATGGCTCTCCACCTTCGCTTCTCCCGAGTCCGTACAGGAGTTGCAGCGATGGGACAAGACCGTAACTACCAATTGGATATCACAAAAAAAAGGGTAAAAGTATAAAAATAATTTTCAAAAACCACCTTATAGTTGAAGACTCTTCTTTTGAGTCAGAAAAGTGCATTGTAATTACTTAGGAACTGTGCACACTTTGGAGAGGTGTGTGGCCACATTTTCCTGGAATATATATATATATATATATTCTTATGATTAACCTATACCTGACACAGACATGGTGGCATAGCAGGAAAATCGGCGTACCGTGAACCAAGCGGTTGTGAATTCAAATCCCAGGTGAGGACTGTTGAATAATAATTATTGTACAAATGTACATGCACAATGTAATCATGTATGTCAAAGTGTGTCAAATATGTAAGTTGAAAACACTGTATGTTAAAAGCACTGTGTGTGTGAGTATCCCTAACCTTGCCAACAGACAAAGAGCTATGAATGGATCAGTGGTTTACCAATCAGGGCCTTGATTGGCTTGGCAACAGAAACAAGGCGTGATGTGTAATGAAACCATTTTTATTTTTGGAGAACATTTATTTGGTTCCATCAGGCAACGTCCTGACAACTGATACACAGAAATGTTGATGGGAAGTTGATGGAATATTATCCTAACCCACAGAAATCTGGACACATTAATGTTCTTGCAATGTTTCCATGAAACGTGTCTAGAACATTAATATCGTATGTTTGGTGGGACTAGGGCTGTGGCAGCATCTCCAAGCCTCCACACATACAAGCTGCTGATTCAAGCCTTTGGAACATCTACATGTAAAAAAGTATAATAAATCAATTGAATATACACCATCACAATAAATCCATTATTTATTTTAGGCTGGTCTAAAGAAACATTATGATATGAACAAGATGTATTTCAGAAGAACAGAATATGAGTTGGCCTACTGTGTGTTATCTGGCTATGCGCCATGCCATAGGACAGGGTTCTTCAATTCCGGTCCTGGAGGGCCGAAACAGTTCTGTTTTTTATTTCTACCTGGTAGTTAATTGCACTCACCTGGTGTCCCAGGTCTGAATTAGCCCCTGATTAGAAGGAGAGGATGAAAAACAGAGGTTTTCGGCCCTCCAGGACCGGAATTGAAGAACCCTGCCATAGGCTGTAGGCTTGTTCATTTAGCAGATAAGATATGCTTATAAGTCACATGCTATTATTTTATATTATTTGATTTTATAGTAAGAAGAATATAATTGAACTTAGCTGAAAAACAAAATTCCGGAGCGAGTGTGAGCATATGAAGAGGCTATGTTGAGTGTAAAAGTGATGATTTGAAACAGCTCCTATACGCTAGATTTTGAGTTATTTGGCAACTTTAGTTGTGAACGACACAAACCTTAGAATGCCTTAGAAATCAAAAGATATATGGGCTGCATGATGCGACTATAGGCTATTGATGATTTGAGAAAGTCGCAAAAAAAGCTTGCACTCCTTTACTTGCTTCAGGCTGCACACACTGTTCTCTTATCAAGTGATCATATTTTCACCCATCAGCCTATTCTCAATTGAATCTTGTCTTTACAAACATGTAAAATTAGTTTCGATTTAGAATGGCCCATTATCAAATGGGCAGGAATAGGGGCAAGACAAAAAGACATGCCATCTGTATGCACTCGAATAGGGAATGGAGGCCAGTACATTTTTCACTTATGTCGGGTAGGCTACTCTTTGCTGCTGGGACAGGTGATATTCCGCCCAAACTGTGTATGCCATGGGCTCTCCAACCCTGTTCCTGCAGCTGTTCAGTAACATCTATAGTAACATGTTTTCACAATGAAACATATTTCATTAAACTGTTGACAGCCCCTCTCTCTGCATGCTGAGAAAGGAATGAAGGAGAGGGGGAGGAGATAGAAACACAGTGGTGAAATATTCTGTAGCTAAAAATAACATGTCAGCCTATTATAATAATAATAATAATAATAATATGCCATTTAGCAGACACTTTTATCCAAAGCGACTTACAGTCATGTGTGCATACATTTTTACGTATGGGTGGTCCCGGGGATCGAACCCACTACCCTAGCGTTACAAGCGCCATGCTCTACCAATTGAGCTACAGAGGACCACATATTCATATTAACTATGAAAATATTTGTTAAATGCCCTATTACTAAACTATTCAAAATCAAAAACAAATTCACTATAATTGTTGGCTAACTCTGAATTTTTATAATTTAGGCTAGACCAATTACGTACCAAAGATCTCTAAAATCAGTATTTTTTTTACATGTTTTTCTGCAGTGTGTTATGCGGTAGGCTATGTATTGTATAATGTCACAATCATTATTTTAATTACGTTTATTTATTTATTTTTAAATTTGGGGGGGGGGGGGGGGGGGGGGGGGGGGCTTGGGCTCATATATAGGCCTATGCCTATGAAAGCCTGTCCATTTCATTGTGTTAGGCTTTTGAAACAACATCCACAATGACCATGTTTTCCACTCAGTTTCAACCTGTTGTTGAACTTCTTTCTTCAAATTGATCATTCACAGTGAGGTGAGTTTTAAAAGCACATACTGTTTTGAGATTACCGTGACTCAACGGTCACGTAGAATTTTACTGCGGTAATGACTCATGACTGCCGGTGTGGCCGTAATATGGTCACCGCAATAGCCCTAGGTGGGACGTTGATGGTATATTCTCCTAACCATCAGAAAACTGGACACATGAATGTTCTTGCAATGTCTCATGAAACGTGTCTAGAACAATAATATTGTATATTCTGAGAACATGGTATTGTATATTCTGAGAACATGGTAACATGGTTTGACATTAAGGGAATGTTCTCCTAACTTTAACGCCAAAACATGCTAAAAAGGTTCTCAGAAGGTTTTTGCTAACATAGATAGAATGTTCCCCTAACTAACGGAAAACTGGACACTCAAACATTAGGGGAACATTGCGGTTAACATTACAAAAATGTTCTCTCTTCCTAGAATTGTTAGCTGGGTAAACACCATAAAAACTCTATACAGCAAACACTAAACATATTATGGAAGATGAATAGTATTTGAACCCAGGTCTAGAATGGATGGGGAGATCTAGCGTTCAGTTGAGCCTCCAGTGAGTGAGAATGTAATGAAGGCCTTTAATTATGCTGCACTAATTACACCCAGCTAGAAACGGAGCTACAGCCATTTTCATTCCCATCTCTGGGACTGGGAGCAACATTAGCATATTCATAGCATAACTCTACCCATGAGCCAGCCAGGCCAGGCCAGGCAGGTATCAATGACTGTTTCATCATCACAAATCCCCAATGGAGGGGTTGGAGCGCCAGGATACTTTCACTCCAAGGCCTCTCCAGAGACATTCAAAAAAAAGAGGAAAATGAGGCCTTCTCCAAAGAGACATGAAATGGCTCAGCTAAGAGCGACACCGTACCATGTTCCCCATATCACTGAATGAGTACCTGGCATTAGAGACACATTTATGAAATGGAGGAGGCAGAGATATGGGCTCCTGTTCCCTCCAGTCCATACCAATGAGAGTGCGAGTTCATGGGCGTTTTTGCTCAGAGTTTAAGGCGCTTTTGCCTTTGTACTCCAGTCGAGTTATTGCAGTATTGGCCAAGTTAGTTCATTGTTTTTCAACCATGTATTTTTGTCAATTATTGTTCATCATCTGTATATTTGATGTAAATACTCCCTCTGGACCTAATCTTCCCTCCATCACCTGCACTGTAAATAAATACCTGATCTAATGACTCCATCTCAACTGTTACTGCTCCACACCAACTACACTGCTAGGTGCTCTATATTAACAAGAGTGTGTCTCTCTTGTCTTTTCACTATAAACTGGCTTTTAGCTAGGTTCTTGATAAGTGCTTTGGGCACAATTACTTTACAAAAAGCACTGTGAAGCACTGCTGAGAATGGGAGCGTTGTGCAGCACTGAAATGAACACCCAACAGAGTAGTGTTTATTAGTTCCTGTCTGGTTATCGTTATCTTGCAGAATTTAAGTGGAATTAATTAGCTGTGCTGAGGGATGCAGACAGGTAGGATTAGAAAGCAAGCTGAGCGTGCGTACCTGCAGCTCCGGGGGGCCTCCCTCATCTCTGATAAGCAGCAGGTAGCTCTGTCCATCAACCACCATCTCCTTCTTGAACCGACCACCTGAGAAAGAGGAGAGACATGTCACTGTGAGTTTACATGGTGGTGCTTGGTCTAGAACATACTTAGAGATCATCATTATTAATACAGCCAATGTGAACCGATCTGCTTTACCCTGCCTATTGAAGGGCTTGGCAAAGTGATGAACAGGGCATAAACTCAGGCCTAAAAGGGTGTAAAGCACTGACATGCTCCTCTATCTACTACCTGTCAATCAAAACGTGTTTGGTTAAGCTACAGCTAAATCACCAAAACTAAACATTAAAACCAATATGTTTCACGAACACACACCAGTAGGACTAGGCATGAGTCAGATTTAGGCCTTCCCATTTTCATACATCACATACACATTTAGATGACTTCCCATTCTGAAAGTTTTGATGAAAGTTTGGAGACATCCATCTGGATTGTGATAGGCTTCAGTTCGATTTGGCCTCGCTGTCTCAATGAGAAATCAGAAGTTAGAGGAGAAAACAGGATCTCTATGGAGTCAATTACCAGGGTGGGAAATTGCACACAACAGCTGAGAGATCCTGGTAATTTACCCCCCCCCCCCCCCCCTCCCTCCCAAATTCACTTCACAATCACCAGCTAGCCTAGAGAGATCTGTTTCCATCACTTGCAAAACTCCACAAGCTATAAGTTAGCGTGCTAGTGTATTAACCAGCACAGCAGTCAACACAGCAGTCAACCAGTCATATAATGTATTTTCAGATTCTGTAAGGAAGACTGGAGCCTGCGATAGAGAGAGGGGAGAGGGAAGGGGGGGGGGGGGAAGATAAAAGGAGAAGAAAAGAGAGAAGTCTAAAGTTGCTGTAGTTCATGACCACAGGATAGTGGAGACTAGAGAAGCTATACAGTAGAATGATAACTACTATAGTGAGCCTTGACTTTTTCCCCCTCATCTCTTTGAATGCATGTTCGTATTCTTTGCCACTGGCAAAGTTGGCTACAGATAAAATACAGACCAATGGGAATACCTCACAATAAATTGGATTTTGCATATAATTGGAATGGTTTGAGATCCGGTGGAGATTAAAAATATTCAAATGAGAGTTGGGGAGCTAGGCAAGAGACGCGTCCCAGGAAAATAAAACATTGCTTTTAGAATGCAGAACATCTGCATCAAGCTATCTCAAACAATACTGGATAATATACGACTCCATGATAGGTGTAAGAGTGGGCATAATAAAGTACACTATACAGTATATACAAAAGTATGTGGACAACCCTTCAAATTAGTGGATTCGGCTATTTCAGCCACACCCATTTGTGACAGGTGTATAAAATCGAGCACACTGCCATGCAATCTCCATAGACAAACATTGGCAGTAGAATGGCCTTACTGAAGAGCTCAGTGACTTTCAACGTGGAACCGTCAAAGGATGCCACCTTTCCAACAAGTCAGTTCGTCAAACTTCTGCCCTGCTAGACCTGCCCCGGTCAACTGTAAGTGCTGTTATGGTGAAGTGGAAACATCTAGGAGCAACAACGGCTCAGCCGCGAAGTGGTAGGCCACACAAACTCACAGAACGGGACCGCCGAGTGCTGAAGCGCGTAGCACATAAAAATAGTCTGTTCTCAGTTGCAACACTCACTACCAAGTTCCAAACTGCCTCTGGAAGCAAAGTCAGCACAATAATTGTTCGTCAGGAGCTTCATGAAATGGGTTTCCATGGCCGAGCAACCGCACACAAGCCTAAGTCACCATGTGCAATGCCAAGCGTCGGCTGGAGTGGTGTAAAGCTCGCCGCCATTGGACTCTGGAGCAGTGGAAACGCGTTCTCTGGAGTGATGAATCACGCTTCACCATCTGGCAGTCAAATCAAATCAAATGTTATTTGCCACATGCGCCGAATACAACATGTGTAGACCTTACAGTGAAATGCCTACTTACGAGCCCTTAACCAACAATGCAGTTTTAAGAAAAATAAGTTTTAAGTAAAAAAATAGATAAGTAAAAAATATGTACATGTGGGTAGAGTTAAAGTGACTATGCATAGATAATAAACAGAGAGTAGTAGCAGCGTAATAGAGGGGGTGGGGTGGGGGGACAATGCAAATAGTCCGGGTAGCCATGACTAACTGTTCAGGAGTCTTATGGCTTGGGGGTAGAAACTGTTAAGAAGCCTTTTGGACCTAGTAGCAGAGATAACAGTCTATGACTAGGGTGGCTTGGACAATTTTTAGGGCCTTCCTCTGACACCTCCTGGTATAGAGGTCCTGGATGGCTGAAGCTTGGCCCCAGTGATGTACTGGTCCGTACGCACTACCCTCTGTAGTGCTTTACGGTCGGAGGCCGAGCAGTTGCCATACCAGGCAGTGATGCAACCAGTCAGGATGCTTTCGATGGTGCAGCTGTAGAACTTTTTGAGGATCTGAGGACCCTTGCCAAATCTTTTCAGTTTCCTGGGGAAGGCTTTGTCGTGCCCTCTTCACGACTGTCTTGGTGTGTTTGGACCATGATAGTTTGTTGGTGATGTGGACACCAAGGAACTTTAAGCTCTCAACCTGTTCCACACCAGCCCTGTCGATGAGAATGGGGGCATGCTCAGTCCTCCTTTTTCCCCTGTAGTCCACAATCATCTCCTTTGTCTTGATCACGTTGAGGGAGAGGTTGTTATCCTGGCACCACTCAGCCAGGTCTCTGACCTCCTCCCTATAGGCTGTCTCAAAGTTGTCGGTGATCAGGCCTACCACTGTTGTGTCGTCGGCAAACTTAATGATGGTGTTGGAGTCGTGCCTGGCCATGCAGTCATGGGTGAACAGGAGTACAGGAGGGGACTGAGCACGCATTCCTGAGGGGCCCCCGTGTTGAGGATCAGTGTGTCAGATGTGTACCCTTACCACCTGGGGGCGGCCCGTCAGGAAGTCCAGGATCCAGTTGCAGAGGGAGGTGTTTAGTCCCAGGGTCCTTAGCTTAGTGATGAGATTTGAGGGCACTATGGTGTTGAACGCTGAGCTGTAGTCAATGAATAGCATTCTCACGTAGGTGTTTCTCTTGTCCAGGTGGGAAAGGGTAGTGTGGAGTGCAATAGAGATTGCATCATCTGTGGATCTGTTGGGGCAGTATACAAATTGGAGTGGGTCTAGGGTGCTGCGGGTTAATAGTCATTTAGGCAGGTTATCGTAGTGTTCTTGGGCACAGGGACTATGGTGGTCTGCTTGAAACATGTTGGTATTACAGACTCAGTCAGGGACATGTTGAAAATGTCAGTGAAGACACTTGCCAGTTGTCAGCGCATGCTCTGAGTACGCGTCCTGGTAATCCGTCTGGTCCTGCGGCCTTGTGAACGTTGACCTGCTTAAAAGTCTTACTCACATCGGCTACGGAGAGCATGATCACATAGTCATCAGGAACAGCTGATGCTCTCATGCATGCTTCAGTGTTGCTTGCCTCGAAGTGAACATAGAAGTGATTTAGCTCATCTGGTAGGCTCGTGTCACTGGGCAGCACGCGGCTGTGCTTCCCTTTGTAGTCTGTAATAGTTTGCAAGCCCTGCCACATCCGACGGAGCCGGTGTAGTACGATTCAATGTTAGTCCTGTACTGACTCTTTGCCTGTTTGATGGTTCGTCTGAGGGCATAGCGGGATTTCATATAAGCGTCCGGGTTAAGAGTCCCGCTCCTTGAAAGCGGCAGCTCTACCCTTTAGCTCAGTGCGGATGTTGACTGAAATCCATGGCTTCTGGTTCGGGTATGTATGTAAGTCACTGTGGGGACGACGTCATCGATGCACTTATTGTTGAAGTGTAGCGGATGATTTGGACGGAGTCAGGTGCAGGAGGTGTAAATCACAGAATAATGGTTAATTCGGTCAATACAGCGTTTCACAGCAATAATGTCCAGAGGGGGCGGAGGGAGCTCCCGCACCTCAGACTCCTGGAGCGGACCAGCCACCACTGGCCTGAAGAGAGATACGTGAAATGAGGGGTTAATACGGTAATCAGGAGGGAGCAGCAACCTATACTTAACCTCGTTAACTCTCCTCAGGACTTTGAACGGCCCCACAAACCGTGGGCTCAGCTTCCGGCAGGGCAGGCAGAGGGGAAGATTCCGGGTCGAGAGCCAGACCCGATCACCCGGTACAAAGACTGGGGCCTCACTGCGGTGGCGGTCAGCGTTGGCTTTCTGGCAATGCACGGCGCACTGGAGGTGGACGTGGGCGGCATTTCACATCTCCTCCGCGGGCCGAAACCAGTCGTCCACCGCAGGAGCTTCGGTCTGGCTCTGATGCCACAGTGCCAGGACCGGCTGATACCCTAAAACATATTGAAATGGTGATAGGTTAGTGGAGGAGTGGCGGAGAGAGTTCTGGGCATATTTGGCCCATGGCAAGAACACCGACCACTCCCCCGGGCCGGTCCTGGCAGTAGGACCGCAGGAACCTACCCACATCCTGATTTACAAGTTCCACCTGCCCAATAGATTCAGGGTGAAACCCAGAGGTCAGGCTGACCGAGACCCCCAGACGTTCCATGATCACCTTCCAGATTCTATACGTAAACTGGGGACCCCGGTCAGACACTATGTCCTCTGGCACCCGTAGTGCCGGAAGACGTGAGTAAACAGGGCTTCCGCAGTCTGCAGGGCCGTGGGGAGACCGGGCAAAGAAAGGAGGCGGTTCTTCCCGGTCAGGCAGTGCACTGTACGGCCGATGCCTAGATGACCAGAGGAGGTGGACGTGTGTGCCCAATAGATAAGACGATCAAGGACACTAGACGGAACGTACCGCAGCCCAGCTGGGCACTGAGGTGGAGATGGCTCTGTGCATAACGCCCGCTCTTGTCCACATCCACCGCCAACACCACCGGTGCCACAAACCAGGTGAAGAACAAGGCCCACCTGGCCTGGCGAGGGTAAAGCCTCCTCGCTGCCCGGATGTACTCCAGGTTACGGTGGTCAGTCCAGACGAGGAAAGGGTGTTTCACCCCCTCGAGCCAGTGCCTCCACACAGTCAGGGCTCTGACAACAGCCATGTCTCCATAGCCTCCGTTTTAGCCTGCGACAGGGGATATACGTAACTCCTGGGAGACACAGCGTCTAACCGGAGGTTTATCGCGCAATACCCTGCCCGATGGGATGGTAAGTTGGTCGACTGCGTTTTGGAAAACACGTGCGCCAAGTCAAGGTATTCGGGGGAATGCGCACGGTGGAGGTAGTGTCTGGACTTTCCACCATGGTCACACAACGGAAACAGCTAGACACCTACCCTGACACTCTCGCGACCACCCCATGAGAACCCTCTGCGGCCATGAAAAGGCCAGGGAAGGCCCAACACAACAGGGAAATCAGGGGACTCAATAATATGAAAGGTGATTTGCTCCCTATGGGTCTCCTGCGTAATCATGGTGACTGGTGCTGTAACCTCCCCAACAAAACCTGACCCTAATGGTCGACTGTCAAGTGCTTTGATGGGCAATGGAATGGATGTACCAATGTAATATGTAGACTAAGAGCTAAAGACCTGTCCATAAAGTTCCCAGCTGCGCCTGAATCTACCAGCGCCTTACACTGGGGAGCTACCGTGTAATCAGGGAAGTTGACGTGGATGGTGAAATGCGCAGCTGAAAGGCACAGCAGAGGGCTCTGAACAAGTGTGGGTTTGCGCTACCTGGGGTGATGCGAGAGTGCCCTGCCTGCCGCCTCCAGAACCAGAAGAACTCTGACGACATCGTGCAGCAGAATGTCCTCTCTTGCCACAAGAGTGACACTGGATCTGTCGTCCTCCGTTCTCCCGGATCGCTGCACCACCCAGCTCCATCGAAACGTGATCCGGATTGAAGGGGTGTGAAACGGGCAGGCCCCTTCCAGGATGTCCTCTCGAAGCCAGCAGGTATCCAACCGGATGGCCATGTCCACCAGTTGGTTGAAGGTCAACGTGGTATCCCGGCAGACTAGCTCCATTCGGACGTCCTCATGCAGGCTGCATCGAAAGTGGTCGACGGACCAGACGCTCACCCGCCTCTCTTCCTTCGGGGGAATGATCGAAGACTGCCCGGAAGAGGCGAGCGAACTCTCCATAGTTGTCCAACACGTCTCCTCCTTCACTCCAGACTGCGTTGGCCCACTCCAGGGCTTTCCCTGAGAGGCAGGAGATGAGGGCGGACACCTTCTCCCGATCCGATGGAGCAGGGCTGATGGTGGTGAAATAGAGGTCCAGCTGCAGGAGGAAACACTAGCAGCGGGCCGCTGTGCCGTCGTATTCCCTCAGTCGAGACAGGTGAATACCTCTGGGTGCTGGGGTGTGGGTGGCTGGATCCGGTCGCTCAGCTGGTTCCGCAGGGTCGGGTCCTCTCCTCTCCAGGCGCTGGACGGCCTGGAGAACCCGATCCATCACTTCACCCAAGCTGGCTAACATGTTGGAATGCTCCCGGACCCGCTCAAAGACTCCAGGCATATTCCCCGCTCCTGCTGCCTCCATGCTGTTGGGTGTGTGATTCTGTAGCGGGTGATTTGGACGGAGTCAGGCGCAGGAGGTATAAATCACAGAATAAAAGGTTTATTCGGCTAATACAGCGGTTCGCAGCAATGCGTAAAACACCTACAGTGTGACTTAACGGCACACTGGGGTAAACAAAACACACGGGTGAATATCCCGGCGATAAAGTACATAATGTTCCACTGAGCTATCAACACCTCCACATGGAAACAATCACACACAAAGACATGGGGGGCAGAGGGAATACTTATACAGGGACTGATGAGGGGATATGTGTGTAAAAAACAAGACAAAACAAATGGAATGATGAGAAGAGGATCGGCAGTGGCTAGAAGTCCGGTGACGACGAACGCCGAAGCCTGCCCGAACAAGGAGAGGAGGCAGCTTCGGAGGAAGTCGTGACATGAAGCCAGTGACTGATGTGGTGTACTCCTCAATGCCATCGGAAGAATCCCGGAACATATTCCAGTCTGTGCTAGCAAAACAGTCCTGTAGCTTAGTATCTGCGTCATCTGACCACTTCCTTATTAACCGAGTCACTGGTACAGTTTTTAATGTCCCGTTGGTAGGATATCCGTGATCGTAGGTCGTCTATTTTGTTTTCAAATGATTGTACGTTGGCTAGTTGGACTGATGGTAGAGGCAGAGTACTCGCTCGCCGTCGGATCCTTACAAGGCACCCCGACCTACGTCCACGATATCTCTGTCTCTTTCTCAAGCGAATGACAGGGATTTGGGCCTTGTCGGGTGTCTGTAGAATATCCTTCGCGTCCGACTCGTTGAAGAAAAATTCTTAGTCCAGTACGAGATGAGTAATCACTGTCCTGATATCCAGAAGTTATTTTTGGTCATAATAGACGGTGGCAGAAACATTATGTACAGAATAAATTACAAGGTAGTTAGCTGTAGTTAGGTATTGTATTTATTATAGGTTAGTATTGTTGTTATTGTAGGTTTCCGTAGGTAATTGTAGGTTAGTATCGAAGCACGAGGCTAGCTAGCTAGCGGGTAGCTACTGGTAACGTTTAGCAACGCTGGAGAGCTGTTTCCAATGTTAATGTGCTGCTAGCCAACGTTTAATTTTTTGCTGCGTTATGCGTTATGAAAGGAACTAGACACGGACATGAATTATCTGTTTAGTGTGCTAACACACTCTTGGCAGTTTGTTGTAACCAAGTATTGGTGCTAAATTGTGTGTTAATGGATGCTAGCTTGCTAGTTAGCTACGGCGTCATAGCTAGGCATCGTGGGTTGTTGTGGGTAGTTACTGTGTCTTGGCAGTGTCTTCGGCCGTGCCGGCTGTAGCACGAAGCGAGCTACCTAGCCGTTTTTTCGAACAGAGTCAGAGTCAACACAATAGCCATTGTGTGCCGGGTGTAGCACGAAGCTAGCTAGCTAGCCGTTCTTCAAACAAAGTCAACACAGTGGCCATTGCTAGCTACCCAACACGACCAGCTAACTGTACGGTAGTAGCTAAATACAATATACTTGTCCTAGCTAGCCAACGTCTAATCATTGCTGCGTCATGAAAGGAACTTGACACAGACACGAATGATCTGTTTAGTGTGTTATCACACTATTGGTGGTTTGTTGTGACCAAGTGTTGGTGCTAAACGGTGTGTTATTGTTATTGGATGCTAGCTTGCTAGTTAGCTATGGTGTCATAGTTAGCTAGCTGAATAAAGTGGGTTGAGTCTATTCCTTTAAACATTGAACCGCTGTGGTTCACAACAATTCTGATTTCTAAAGGTGGAAGTTGGGAGAGTTTTTTGTTCGGGTGGTTCAGTGAAACAATTTTAGTTTCTGAGGTAGAAGTTTTTGGTGAGGGAGGCCCTGCTCTCTCCTCTCCCAGATGCTTAGCTCATTTCATTCCGATCTCCTCTGCATTTTTGTAGCCATTTGCTACAGCCTGTCAACTATGCCTCTGCCTATCCCTGTTCTCTCCTCTCTGCACAGGCTACACAAACGCACCACACCGCGTGGCTGCTGCCTCTCTAACCTGGTGGTCCCTGCACGCACCACCCACGTGGAGTTCCAGGTCGCAGGCAGCCTCTGGAACTGCCGTTCTGCTGCCAACAAAGCTGACTTCATCCCAGCCTATGCCAACCTCCAGTCCCTCGACTTCCTGGCGCTGACGGAAACATGGATCACCACTGAAAACACTGCTACTCCTACTGCTCTCTCCTCGTCTGACCATGTGTTCTCGCATACCCCGAGAGCATCTGGTCAGAGGGGTGGTGGTACAGGAATCCTCATCTCTCCCAAGTGGACATTCTCAATTTTTCCCCTAACCCATCTGTCTATCTCCTCATTTGAATTCCATGCTGTCACAGTCACTAGCCCATTTAAGCTTAATATCCTTGTCATCTATCGCCCTCCAGGTTCCCTTGGAGAGTTCATCAATGAGCTTGACGCCTTGATAAGTTCCTTCCCTGAGGATGGCTCACCCCTCACAGTTTTGGGGGATTTCAACCTCCCTATGTCCACATTTGACTCATTTCTCTCTGCCTCCTTCTTTCCACTCCTCTCCTCTTTTGACCTCACCCTCTCACCGTCCCCCCCTACTCACAAGGCAGGCAATACGCTTGACCTCATCTTCACTAGATGCTGCTCCTCTACTAATCTCACTGCAACTCCCCTCCATGTCTCCGACCACTACTTTGTTTCCTTTTCTCTCTCGCTCTCCTCCCACACTACTCACTCTGCCCCTACACAGATGGTAATGCGCCGCCGCAACCTTCGCTCTCTCTCCCACTACTCTCTCCTCTTCCATCCTATCATCTCTTCCCTCTGCTCAATCCTTCTCCCTCCAATCTCCTGATTCTGCCTCCTCAACCCTCCTCTCCTCCCTTTCTGCATCCTTTGACTCTCTGTGTCCCCTATCCTCCCGGCCGGCTCGGTCCTCCCCTCCAGCTCCGTGGCTTGATGACTCATTGCGAGCTCACAGAACAGAGCTCCGGGCAGCGGAGCGGAAATGGAAGAAAACTAAACTCCCTGCCGACCTGGCATCTTTTCACTCCCTCCTCTCTACATTTTCTTCATCTGTTTCTGCTGCTAAGGCCACCTTCTACCACTCTAAATTCCAAGCATCTGCCTCTAACCCTAGGAAGCTCTTTGCCACATTTTCCTCCCTCCTGAATCCCCCCCCCCAGGCATTGCAGCACGTGCTCTCACCACTGGTGTCCCCCAGGGCTCAGTTCTAGGCCCTCTCCTTTTCTCCCTATACACCAAGTCACTTGGCTCTGTCATATCCTCACATGGCCTTTCCTATCATTGCTACGCTGACGATACACAACTAATCTTCTCCTTTCCCCCTTCTGATAACCAGGTGGCGAATCGCATCTCTGCATGTCTGGCAGACATATCAGTATGGATGACGGATCACCACCTCAAGCTGAACCCTGGCAAGACGGAGCTGCTCTTCCTCCCGGGGAAGGACTGCCCGTTCCATGATCTCGCCATCACGGTTGACAACTCCGCTGTGTCCTCCTCCCAGAGTGCGAAGAGCCTAGGCGTGACCCTGGACAACACCCTGTCGTTCTCCGCCAACATCAAGGCGGTGACCCGCTCCTGCAGGTTCATGCTCTACAACATTCGGAGAGTACGACCCTGCCTTACACAGGAAGCGGCACAGGTCCTAATCCAGGCACTTGTCATCTCCCGTCTGGACTACTGCAACTCGCTGTTGGCTGGCCTCCCTGCCTGTGCTATAGGGTGAACGCACCAATTTGTGAGTCGCTCTGGCTAAGAGCGTCTGCTAAATGACGTTAATGTGCCCTTGAGCAAGGCACTTAACCCTAATTGCTCCTGTAAGTCGCTCTGGATAAGAGCGTCTGCTAAATGACTAAAATGTAAAATGTAAAATGTAAATAATAGCACAATTGGATAGGGGGCCGTAAAACGGCAGCCATCTCCTCCGGAGCCATTATTTATCCAATGGATGAATCTGGGTTTGGCGAATGCCAGGAGAACGCTACCTGCCCCAATGCATAGTGCCAAATGTAAAGTTTGGTGGAGGAGGAATAATGGTCTGGGGCTGTTTTTCATGGTTCGGGCTAGGCCCCTTAGTTCCAGTGAAGGGAAATCTTAATGCTACAGCATACAATGACATTCTAGACGAGTCTGTGCTTCCAACTTTGTGGCAACAGTTTGGGGAAGGCCCTTTCCTGTTTCAGCATGACAATGCCCCCATGCACAAAGCAAGGTCCATACAGAAATGGTTTGTCGCGATCGGTGTGGAAGAACTTGACTGGCCTGCACAGAGCCCTGACCTCAACCCCATTGAACACCTTTGGGATGAATTGGAACGTCGACTGCGAACCAGGCCTAATCGGCCATCATCAATGCCGACCTCACTAATTATCTTGTGGCTGAATGGAAGCAAGTCCCCACAGAATATTCTACCATCTAGGGGGTCCACATACTTTTGGTCATGTAGTGTATATCAAAAAGAAATATGCTGAGGGTGAAAAAATAGACAGAAAACTGGTATAAAATATCTATCGCCACGGCAACACCAGATATTTCATTATCAGCCGTGTTATCTGTTACAGCCATCGGTAATAAGATGTAGAGAATATGTGGAGTTCATAACAGTTTTAGAACTTTCCAACTGACAAGATCCCATCTCTGCAAAAAAGCAAGTGAGGACACAGCGACTGGCTCTGCCTGCAGTCTTCTAAGACTAAGTAGGCAGTGTTCTAGCTAGGGCCAACATGCAATAAAGATCCACTTGAGCCACACTTTCTCCCCATTAAGTCCACTTTAGCCCACTTGGCGAAGGGGGATTCTACCAGACATCAGTTGGGTTGTGTAATAGTCAGAGAGAGAGAAAGACAGAGAGAGAGAGACAGAGAGAATCACAGAAGCCAAGCCAGACTTTCCTCCACTGAAGCAGGGCCGGTGCCAGAACGAATCAGTTGGACGGGCATTTGATTTCCATAGGGGGGCAGAATTCTGTTATGAGTGTTATGCCAAATAACATCTTCTGTTGTCATGTTATGAAATGGATGTGCATTCAAGTATAAGCCTACATTTAGATTACATAACATCACCATCATCCTGGCCGTGTCTCTGTTCACAACCAAGCATTGACAAAAACGGATCCTGAGGTCGGAGGAGAATCCATCTGTACTGTAATCTCAGTGCCGAAAGAATTAAGCTAACCTAATTGTTGAGCGATAACGAGAGATACTCAATCTGTATTAGGGTAGGCAAGCAATAATGTATAATGATTTTGGTTGGATGTGGCTAATGAATAGTGGTTATAGCTTTTCTATCAACCTGTTGTCCAGCTTATACATACAGATGAGTCTAACACACACACACACACACACACACACACACACACACACACACACACACACACACACACACACACACACACACACACACACACACACACACACACGTTTTGAGACTGGAGCTGTATTTTTGGGCTTGGTTAACAGGTAGTAAACATATTCAGCTCTAGAATGGAACATGGAGGCTCAGAGACCTTGACACGGAGCCACAATTCCAACAGAGCCCGTTCCACTGTTGCCATGGCAACACCTCCCTCCTCATCCCTGGTACTAGCCTTTTACAGATGCAACTAGCAACATAGTAGAATAAAAAATGAAGAGTAGAGCTGCTGGGTGAATGAATGGTATGGACCAAACAGAAAACACTACTCTCCTTAGAAGCGAGGTAGCCTCTTTCAGTCTACAGAGTAGCTATAGTTTCTATTTGGGCTCAGCAACGTGCTAGGAATGAGACTAAAAGGAGACCCTTTGCCACCTGTTAATGATGGGAGATGAAGCGGAATGTTTGTATCACATAAATGATACAGTGATCTGTATAAAATGCAATAAGAAGAAACAACATGTTTCCTTAATTACCCAAAATCATCACTCAGGTTTTAGCTTTCCAGCATTTTTGTCATTGATTTCTCTAGGCCTAATTAAGCAGTAAGGATTGTTTCTTTCCCTTGGTGAAGCAGCATCATTATGCCAGGAACTCATTATGCGCTTCATGTCTCATGTCACTCCTCACTATAATTATACAAAACCAGACACTACAAACCCTCCAAACCCCCTCAAAGATTGTAATTTAACCCCAGCTATGACAACATCTTTGTGGGTTTCGGAGAGCCTTCGCTTCTAAATTCAGCAGGGCCGAACTCATTAAGGATTCCGCCTGATAATCAAAATGGAGAATTGTTCAGTTGTGATTCTGTGAAGTCACAGTGGAAATCTCTGGAACAGGCCCCTGTGGAAATAAATATACCTTCTCACTGAGCTATGCCCTCTCGTTCAGTGCTTCAGAGCCTCAGAGCTCCCAAAGCAGAAACTGTTTATGTTCATTGCAGCAACTGCAATCCCCTTTTGCTTTGAAATGAAGGATTTTAGTAGGATTTGGTGCTTTAAGCCCAGGTTTAAGTTTGACCTTGATTTGTTGGGAATTAGCATTCCAAAACAGCAGCCCTCTCTCTTTCACGGGAGATGCTTTGCTCTAGCTGTCATTGTCTTTTCTACTCAGTTTGGCAGTTGGAAATGGAACAAATGGATAAAAAGCCAATTATCTCCGAGCACATCCTTGGGCTTGACATAAATCTGACACTGCGTTGACTGATACAAAACAATAACAACAACAGAAACAGAAAACACACCTGGCTTCAAAGACTAGCTGTTAATGATGATAAGCGAAGATAATGCAGGTTTCTCTTTATATACTAAGTGGAACACACTCAACCTAACTGCTAATTATGAATTTAGTTTGTATACAGCCTACGGTCACCATCAAGCCCTGTCATTGTACTTTATGCCAGTATCTATCCCCAGCTAGAATAACTTAAACCCAAATACAGACTGGCTTGCTAACTTATCATTCCAGCAGAGGAGGCTGGTGGGATGAGCTATAGGAGGATGGGCTCATTGTAATGGCTGGAATGGAATCAATGGAATGGTACCAAACACATCAAACATATATATATATATATATACATACATACATACATACATACATACATACATACATACATACATACATACATACATACATACATACATACATACATACATACATACATACATACATACATACACTGCTCAAAAAAATTAAGGGAACACTTAAACAACACAATGTAACTCCAAGTCAATCACACTTCTGTGAAATCAAACTGTCCACTTAGGAAGCAACACTGATTGACAATAAATGTCACATGCTGTTGTGCAAATGGAATAGACAACAGGTGGAAATTATAGGCAATTAGCAAGACACCCCCAATAAAGGACTGGTTTTGCAGGTGGTGACCACAGACCACTTCTCAGTTCCTATGCTTCCTGGCTGATGTTTTGGTCACTTTTGAATGCTGGTGGTGCTTTCACTCTAGTGGTAGCATGAGACGGAGTCTACAACCCACGCAAGTGGCTCAGGTAGTGCAGCTCATCCAGGATGGCACATCAATGCGAGCTGTGGCAAGAAGGTTTGCTGTGTCTGTCAGCGTAGTGTCCAGAGCATGGAGGCGCTATCAGGAGACAGGCCAGTACATCAGGAGACATGGAGGAGGCCGCAGGAGGGCAACAACCCAGCAGCAGGACTGCTACCTCCGCCTTTGTGCAAGGAGGAGCAGGAGGAGCACTGCCAGAGCCCTGCAAAATGACCTCCAGCAGGCCACAAATGTGCATGTGTCTGCTCAAACGGTCAGAAACAGACTCCATGAGGGTGGTATGAGGGCCCGACGTCCACAGGTGGGGGTTGTGCTTACAGCCCAACACCGTGCAGGACGTTTGGCATTTGCCAGAGAACACCAAGATTAGCAAATTTGCCACTGGCGCCCTGTGCTCTTCACAGATGAAAGCAGGTTCACACTGAGCACATGTGACAGACGTGACAGAGTCTGGAGACGCCGTGGAGAACGTTCTGCTGCCTGCAACATCCTCCAGCATGACCGGTTTGGCGGTGGGTCAGTCATGGTGTGGGGTAGCATTTCTTTGGGGGGTCGCACAGCCCTCCATGTGCTCGCCAGAGGTAGCCTGACTGCCATTAGGTACCGAGATGAGATCCTCAGACCCCTTGTGAGACCATATGCTGGTGCGGTTGGCCCTGGGTTCCTCCTAATGCAAGACAATGCTAGACCTCATGTGGCTGGAGTGTGTCAGCAGTTCCTGCAAGAGGAAGGCATTGATGCTATGGACTGGCCTGCCCGTTCCCCAGACCTGAATCCAATTGAGCACATCTGGGACATCATGTCTCGCTCCATCCACCAACGCCACGTTGCACCACAGACTGTCCAGGAGTTGGCGGATGCTTTAGTCCAGGTCTGGGAGGAGATCCCTCAGGAGACCATCCGCCACCTCATCAGGAGCATGCCCAGGTGTTGTAGGGAGGTCATACAGGCACGTGGAGGCCACACACACTACTGAGCCTCATTTTGACTTGTTTTAAGGACATTACATCAAAGTTGGATCAGCCTGTAGTGTGGTTTTCCACTTTAATTTTGAGGGTGACTCCAAATCCAGACCTCCATGGGTTGTTACATTTGATTTCCATTGATAATTTTTGTGTGATTTTGTTGTCAGCACATTCAACTATGTAAAGAAAAAAGTATTTAATAAGATTATTTCATTCATTCAGATCTAGGATGTGTTATTTTAGTGTTCCCTTAATTTTTTTGAGCAGTGTATATATACATACATATACATATATATATACATATATACATATACATATATATACATATATATATATATATATATATATGCGAGAAATAAAAATAAAAGATATGGGGGATTGGAAGTGATGCAGACAATTACATTGATGGAAGTTACAATCTATCTACAGTATTAAAGCTGATCTACCCACAAAAAAAATAAAAAATAAAGACACACATCAAACACATGGAAACAACGTGTTTGACTCCATTCCATTACAGCCATTACAATGAGCATGTCCTCCTATAGCTCCTATTTCCAGCCTCCACTGCATTCCAGGTGGTATTTCAACAGGTTTTGAACAGCCAATAATCTGGTAACACATTAAAATACTTTATAAGCCTTTATAAATGCGTATACATTTTTAGAAATACTTAGAAATCCTTTATACATTTTTATAAAGATCTCAAATGACATTTACATGTATGACGCAGCAGGGCCAGTAGATGGAGTAGATTAGCAAGATACCATCACAGCTAGAAGTGATGTGTTCATGTGTTGACTGACAAGACCCTCTAGAGTCGACAACCTTTTAGCTCTTTAGAACGTGTGACACCTCTCCTCCCTCAGGTTTTTTTTCCTAAACAGCAGCAAGCTCTGTCTCTTACCTTCAGGGGATTCCTCCTGCACGTATGTGCCTGTCAGGTACCGGTGGACCAGGGCCGACTTCCCACTTGACAGATTACCCACAATACCCTGCAGAAACAACAAGATGACAGTTCAGTCAAGGACATCACATGGCTGACAATGCCAGTGTGTCTGGGGGAGAACAAAGGCTCCTCCAACACACCCTCCTCCCCTACTCAACCCCCCAATCCTCCAACACACCCTCCTCCCCAATCCTCCAACACACCCTCCTCCCCTACTCAACCCCCCAATCCTCCAACACACCCTCCTCCCCTACTCAACCCCCCAATCCTCCAACACACCCTCCTCCCCTACTCAACCCCCCAATCCTCCTTCACCACCCTCTTCTTTAGATCATTAGTGGGTGGTAAAGTCAGGTATGGTTTTAATTATAGGGGACTGTGAGCGAGACGTGTGTGTGTGTGTACAGGATCTTTAAGAGATGATGCTACCTCTCCTCTCCTCTCCTCTCCTCTTCCTCTCCTTCTCCTGCTCCTCCTCCCTCTCCTCTCCTCTCCTCTCCTCTCCTCTCCTCGTCCTCTCCTCCCATCCGCCTCCTTGCACTTACAATCTAAATAAGGAGGAAGTTGGCTTTGGAGAGGACAAGGAGTAGTAGTATATCCACCACAGAAGAATAACAAGCTAGGAGCTACTCATAACAGAAGCGAACTACAAAATGAGCAGAATTTATGTTAGAACTGTAAAGCTTTGTAAGCTGCTGGGTTGTAGGCCCATCATTAAGTAAGGCTGCTGTATGAGCATAGTTCAGGCAGATGAAAGCAGAGCGGGCACAGTGTGTGGAAATCTCACTACAGCCTTTTTTAAGGATCAGTCTATGGTTCATTATCAAGGTCCAGCAGGGTTCAATTAGATGTTTTGGGAAGACAGTACTATACAGTATCAGCTCATCTCCTCATGAGTGCAATTGCCAATTGTTGAAACGATAACATCTGCCTGTGCTTTTGGGGACCATAATATATGAATAAACTCCTTCTGTACAATACTGTCATATAGAACTGTGGAAGAAATGGAAGTTATCCGTCCCTTCTCTGACAGTCCTCGACTCTTCCCTGCTGAATCCAGCATCAGTTCACTAAACCCCTGAAATGTGTGGAGGAATTTTCCAATTAACACCTAACACTACATAAAAGACGATGAGCTCTATCAAATTATCCCTGCTTAGAAAGTATGTTCTTCATAAAAGTGTCCCTCTGAGAGAACATCATTTTCTGTCAGATTCCCCATAGGATTATGCCAATATGTTTTTCATAAAATACCAAAATACTATGAATACTTCAGTATTTACCACCAGAATGGTGGAATGGAATGTGTTTTTGTGGTAATATCCCTATTGATGATGTGAGTGAAGCATTCCCTTCTTCCTGTGAGGACGTGTGTGTGCGTGCGCGTGTGCAAGCAGTTGTGCCAGCGGGTGGATCAGACCCAGGACGTGTCACCCATCTAGCCCAAAACTGTCACTCATCTCTCTGTCCTGCTGCAAGCCACTCTGCGCTCCGCATCACCATGCCAACTTATCTCATTAAAAATCACCCACACTCTTGCTTGGTGCCAGGGAATATTCCAGCCAATTTCTTTACTCTACTCTCTCTCTGTCATGCAGAATGAGAGGAAATGTTTTTGAAATGCATATAGCATGGCCCGGCATTGACATTTAAATCAATACTTTTGCAGTGCCAATGCCAGAAGAATAATATGGCCTGAAGTTATGATGAATACTCATGAATACTACTCACCACTTTGAGCTCTGGCACTGATCGACTCAATGTCCACTCCTGGCTATTGACGAAAGAGTCTGGAAGAGAAAAAATAAAAAGAGAACAAACACCATTAAGTTGAGGTCGGTGAAGGTTAAAGCAGTGTGTTGATTCCTTGCCACTGTCTGTCTCATATCCTCACAGTTTATTTTCTCATGTTCAGTTGAACCAAAGAAAAACCTGCTCTGCTCTCCCTTTCTCCGACACAGTCCTGACAATAATTGTTGTTTGTTTCCGTTGCGCCGAACACATAGCTTGAAGGGAAGGAGTGCAATCATGGTTTAAAGTCATCTCTGACAGCGCAAACATGCACACGCACGCACACACACATTGCACCCCTACCTCATTTTTACCATTATGTCACCTGTGCAACAAGAGGTGACAAAACTCTAGATCACCGTTATTCCACACACAGAAATGCATACAAGGCCCTCCCTCGCCCTCCCTTAGGCAAATCAGACCATAACTCTACCCTCCTGCTTCCTGCTTACAAGCAAAAACTCAAACAGGAAGTGGTCCGTTGAAGCAGATGCTAAGCTACAGGACTTTTTCATTAGCACAGATTGGAATATGACGCTCCCGAGTGGCGCAGTGGTCTAAGGCATTGCATCTCAGTGCTTGAGGCGTCACTACAGACCCCTGGTTTGATTCCAGGCTGTATCACAACCGGACGTGATTGGGAGTCCCATAGGGCGGCGCACAATTGGCCCAGCGTCGTCCGGGTTTGGCTGGTGTAGGCCGTCACTGTAAATAAGAATTTGTTCTTAACTGACTTGCCTAGTTAAATAAAGGTAAAATAAAAAAATTATATATGTTCCAGGATTCATCCGATAACATTGAGGAGTTTACCACATCAGTCACCGGCTTCATTAATAAGTGCATCAACGAAGTCGTCCCCACAGTGACCGTACGTACCCCAACCAGAAGCCATGGATTACAGGCAACATCTGCACTGAGCTAAAGTATAGAGCTGCTGCTTTCAAGGAGCAGGACACTAATTCGGACGCTTAGGAGAAATCTAGCTACGAACTCTGACGAGCCATCAAATAGGCAAAGCTTCAATACAGGACTAAGATCGAATCCTACTACACCGGCTCTGATGCACGACGGATGTGGCAGGGCTTACAAACTATCATGGACTACAAAGGGAAACCCAGCCGCGAGCTGCCCAGTTACGTGAGTCTAGCAGACAAGCTAAATGCCTTCTATGCTCGCTTGGAGGGAAGCAAAACTGAACCATGCATGAGAGCACCAGCTGTTACGGATGACTGTGTGATCTCGCTCTCCGTAGCCAATGTGAGTAAGACCTTTCAACAGGTTAACAATCACAAGGCCATGGAGCCAGACGGAATACCAAGATGAGTACTCAGAGCAACAGCACCTCTTCAACCTCAGGAGGCTGAAGAAATTTGGCTTGGTCCCTAAGACCCTCACAAACTTCGCCAGATGCACCATTGAGAGCATCCTGTCAGCTGTATCGCTGCCTGGTATGGCAATTGCACTGTCCGCAACTGCAGGGCTCTCCAGAGGGTGGTGCGGTCAGCCCTACGTATCACCAGTGGCACACTGCCTGCCCTCCAGGACATCTACTGTACAGCACCCGGTGTCACAGGAAGGCCAAGAAGATCACCCGGTGTCACACGAAGGACCTCCGCCACCCGAGCCACGACCTGTTCACCACACTACCATCTAGAAGGTGGGGACAGTACAGGTGCATCAAAGCTGGGACCGAGAGACTGAAAAACAGCTTCCATCTCCAGGCCATCAGAGAGTTAAATAGTCAACAATAGCCAGCCTCCGCCCAGTACATTGCCCTGAACTTAGTCACTGTTACTAGCTGGCTACCACTCGGTACTCTATCCTGCACCTTAGAGACGTCTGACCTGTGTACATAGTCATTGAACACTGGTTACTTTAATAATGTTAACATACCGTTAACACCTTTCCTATTAATATCCTGTCCATACTATCTAGACACACCATTATATATACACTACCGTTCAAAAGTTTGGGGTCACTTAGAAATGTCCTTGTTTTCAAAAGAAAAGCAAATTTTTTGTCCATTAAAATAACATTACATTTATCAGAAATACAGTGTAGACATTGTTAATGTTGTAAATGGCTATTGTAGCTGGAAACAGCTGATTTTTAATGGAATATCTACACAGGCGTAGAGGCCCATTATCAGCAACCATCAGTCCTGTGTTCCAATGGCACGTTGTGTTTGCTAATCCAAGTTTATCATTTTAAAAGGCTAATTGATTATTAGAAAACCCTTTTGCAATTATGTTAGCACAGCTGAAAACTGTTGTGCTGATTAAAGCAGCAATAAAACTGGCCTTCTTGAGACTAGTTGAGTATCTGGAGCATCAGCAATTGTGGGTTTGATTACAGGCTCAAAATGGCCAGAAACAAATAACTTTCTTCTGACACTTGTCAGTCTATTATTGTTCTGAGAAATGAAGGCTATTGCATGTGAGAAATTGCCAAGAAACTGAAGATCTCGTACAACGCTGTGTACTACTCCCTTCACAGAACAGCGCAAACTGGCTCTAACCAGAATATAAAGAGGAGTGGGAGGCCCCGGTGCACAACCGAGCAAGAGGACAAATACATTAGAGTGTTTAGTTTGAGAAACAGACCCGCAAAACATTAAATAGTACCCGCAAAACACCAGTCTCAATGTCAACAGCGAAGAGGCGACTCCGGGATGCTGACCTTCTAGTCCGAGGTGCAAATAAGTCTAGTGTCGGTTCTTTTGCCCATCTTAATCTTTTATTTTTATTGGCCAGTCTAAGATATGACTTATTCTTTTTCAAGAAGGCCAGTTTTATTGCTTCTTTAATCAGCACAACAGTTTTCAGTTTTGATAACATAATTGCAAAAAATGATAAACTTACAGCCCAGTACATCACTGGGGCCGAGCTCCCTGCCATCCAGGACCTCTATACAGGTGGAGTCAGTGGAAGGCCCAAAAAATGGTCAAAGACTCCAGCCACCCATGTCATGTTCTCTCTGCTATCGTACAGCAAGCGGTACCAGTGCACAAAGTCTGGAACCAACAGGACCCTGAACGGCTTCAGCCCTTAAGCCATAAGACTGCTAAACAAGGCTGCTAAATAGCTAATCAAATGGCTACCTGCATTGTCCCTTTTTTGAACTAACTCTCTTGCACTGACTATGCACACACACTGGACTCTACCCACACACTCACACATACATACACTTTTTGTTTTACGCACAAAACAATTTAGGCAACAGGGATCCCGGAGGGGATTGAACGTCTCTACTGAAACCTAGAAGCTTGATCTTAACATCTAGCCACTTACAGTGCATTCGGAAAGTATTCAGACCCCTTGACTTTTTCCACATTTTATTACGTTAAAGCCTTATTCTAAAATGGATGTGAAAAAAAGTATCCTCATCAATCTACACACAATAACCCATAATGACAAAAGCAAAAACAGATTTTTAGAATTTTTTGCAAAGGTATTAAAAATAAAAAACTGAAATACCTTATTTACATAAGTATTCAGACCCTTTGCTATGAGACTCGAAATTGAACTCAGGTGCATCCTGTTTACATTGATCATCTTTGAGATTTCTACAACTTGATTGGAGTCCACCTGTGGTAAATTCAATTGATTGGACATTATTTGGAAAGGCACACACCTGTCTATTTAAGGTTCCACAGTTGACAGTGCATGTCAGAGCAAAAACCAAGCCATGAGGTCAAAGGAAATGTCCGTAGAGCTCCGAGACAGGATTGTGTCGAGGCAGAATCTGGGGAAGGGTACCAAAAAATGTCTGCAGCATTGAAGGTCCCCAAGAACACAGTGGCCTCCATCATTCTTAAATGGAAGGGGTTTGGAACCACCAAGACTCTTCCTAGAGCTGGCCGCTCGGCCAAACTGAGCAATCGGGGGAGAAAGGCCTTGGTTAGGGAGGTGACCAAGAACGCACCCCATCCAACCTGACTGAACTTGAGAGGATCTGCAGAGAAGAATGGGAGAAACTCCCCAAATACAGGTGTGCCAAGCTTGTAGTGTCATACTCAAGAAGACTCAAGGCTGTAAATTGCTGCCAAAGGTGCTTCAACAAAGTACTGAGTAAAGGGTCTGAATACTTATGTAAATGTGATATTTAAGTTTTATGAAAACCAGTTTTTGCTTCGTTATTATGGGGTATTGTGTGGAGATTGATGAGGATGTGTATTTATTTAATCCATTTTAGAATAAGGCTGTAACGTAACAAAATGTGGAAAAAGTCAAGGGGTCTGAATACTTTCCGAATGCACTGTAGCTAGCAAGTTATCAAACCAAATGCATAGCTGGAGCCCTGAGCTGGATATCATTTATTTGACACATCTTAGATTTCTTATAGTTATACTTAACTTATAGTTATAAGCAGTGGCGTATGCACGCACCCCCGCTGTATTGAAATTCATATAGCTGGTATTTCGAATGACCCCGGTATACTGTATAAACAGTAGATTGTACAAGCCTAGTACTGGTACTCCCTGTACTGTATATAGCCATGTTATTTTTACTCGTTTAGGGTAGAATGGCGCCGACAGAGAGGGCTGCCTTGCTTCTAGCTCTAACTCGTTATTGTTATTTGTTATTCACTGTGTATTTATTACTTGTGTCATTATTTCCAGGTTTATTTGATCTTCTTTTATCTTTAACTGCATTGTTTGAAAAGGACCCGTAAGTAAGCTGTTAGTTTCACTGTTAGTCTAAAACTGTGGTTTACAAAGCATGTGACAAATATAATTTGATTTGATTTGACACTACCTCATTCAGTATGTTGGAGCTTTTTTCGATCCTCTCACCTAGAGGCAAACTGATGCTGCGGCTGCTAATTCAATTTAACAGTGAGAGATTACCAGACTTGACCCAACATGTTTCCTCTATTAATGACATCACATAGCGAAGGAACATTTGACTGGATAATCACTATTTTAAAAAACAGTCTAGAAAACCATTCAATAGAACAATTATAGTATGGGCAAAAGTCAGTAGCATTGTTTATGTCTGCCTGGAGGTTATTGCCATAACCAAACCAAACACACAGATAATTTCTCTCTAAGGACACCATAAAGAATGTTAGCATCTGTCACGACAACCGTTTCACAAAAGACCCCGTTCCTGTTTCGATTCATAGACCTCCCATTCTGAGCTAGCGACCCCCATGGAGATACCATCTCCAACAGAGGGGGTGTAGACACCCTGTCTCCAGGAAACAAGGCGCACAACCAGGTGGGATCCCCCTATGTCAGTCTACACCAGAATAATGAAGACCTACAACACCAAACAAGGCAGCATCATTTAAGTGCAAATGTTTGTTGCAGCAACAATGTTCTCATCACGCCCAAGGCAATCATATTACAGAGAATCTATCATCCAGAAAAAAATATTGAGAGCGATTCCCTGTATTCAAGTACTTATTCATAGGTATTCTAGAGCACTTTTGCCATAAACAATATCTTACATAAATTGAAAGTGGTTGTCCAATCCATAAGTATTGTCTGTGTAAGTTAAGTGTAAGGGCTTCAGTGATAATTGCAACATTTGCACAACATGAGATCAATTGTTGAAGAACATTCATTCAAACGTTGCTCCAAGGCTAATCAAAGCCATTCCAAACACCATTGAACTTCACTTGAGACACTTTTCCCAATTAAGAAAGAAAACAGTTTTTCGTTTGAACACTAGATTCTACCTTGAAATGTTTTGTTTTAGAAGCAATAAGGTTGACTTAATACACTGTATACAATAATAGCCTCGTTGCTATGGCAATCTCACTTTATTCCAGGCTGAGGCGTTTTGAGTGCATCACCAGAGGTGGTTTCAGGCGTTGTGTTGGTTCTGAATAGCAAGCCTTGTGTTGTTAAGCCCTCTCACTACCAGTTTGACACATCTCCTTGAACATGTTAGAACATGAGCACCAAAGATGCTCTTTAGATGCTGCAGTTCTGAAACTCTGCTTGAGTGAGGGAGTTTATTTCAGAAGTGGTAGAGGGGCGCTTAAATGAGGTTGCTCCTCATTTTGTCAAGATTTGTATTGTTATCATACAAATGTAGCTAATGTTTCTGTAAAACATATGAAATGACAGAGTCAAGAGGACAACGAAACGACACAAAGTAGATCCTCTCAGAATAAAAACACTGATTGGAGCTATTTTATGCAACTCTTGAGCACCCTGTTCTAAGAGCACTCCGCAATTAACAGATTTGCAGTTAACTGCAAAGAGATAAACAGTAGTTTCCACTGTTGTTTCAATTCTTGCATCTCTTAAAGAGAGAGGGCCAAACATACAAAGGAAGACCCCAGAAATAGATAGGCCATCCAGATTAATTAGAGGTCATCACACAAATGGGGCACTATAGCGTTGTTGACCACTTAGAGCAGGCGTGTCAAACTCATTTTGCCCCGGGGGCCGCATTCGGTCTTCAACGAGGTCTGGAAGGCCTCACTGAAAATGGGTTATATTTCCTTGCCGTCAAAATTTTTAAAAAAAGTTTGTCCTCTATGCTCCCTGACTGTCTAGCTTTCATTTAGGTGATTATTAAGTTTCAAATTTTTTTGTCATGTGCACAAGTACAGTGAAATGCCTTTCTTTATTAGCAAGCTGGACACAGTCAAGAAACTGTATGAATGTAGGTCCATTATCACACAGTTTCAAAAAAAAATTGTCATTTTAAAGTACAGTGCCTTCAGAAAATGTTCACACCCCTCAACTTTTTTGTTGGGGCAAATCCAATACAACACATTACTGATTACCACTCTCCATATTTTTAAGCATAGTGGTGGCTGCATCATGTTATGAGTATGCTTGTAATCGTTAAGGAGTGGGGAGTTTTTCAGGATAAAAAATAAACAGAATGGAGCTAAGCACAGGCAAAATCCTAGAGGAAACCTGGTTCAGTCTGCTTTCCACCAGACACTGGGAGATTCATTCACCTTTCAGCAGGACAATAACCTAAAACACAAGGCCAAATCTACACTGGAGTTGCTTACCAAGAAGACATTGAATGTTCCTACGTGGCCGAGTTACAGTTTGACTTAAATCTACTTGAAAATATATGGCAAGACCTGAAAATTGTTATCTAGCAATGATCAACAACCAATTTGACAGAGCTTGAGGAATTTTGAAAAGAATAATGGGCAAATGTTGCACAATCTAGGTGTGAAAAGCTCTTAGAGACTTACTCAGAAAGACTCACAGCTATAACTGCTGCCAAAAGGTGCTTCTACAAAGTATTGACTCAGGGGTGTGAATATTTATGTAAATTAGATATTTCTGTATTAGCAAACATTTCTATAAACATGTTTTCACTTTGTCATTCTGGGATATTGTGTGTAGATGGGCGAGAAAAAAATATTTAATCAATTTCGAATTCAGGCTGTAACACAACAAAATGTAGAATAAGTCAAGGGGTATGAATAATTTGAGTTTTCCTACACAAAATTTTTTTAAACACCTGCAGGCCGGATTGGACTCCTCACGGGCCAGATCCAGCCCTTGGGCAGTATGTTCGACACAGCGCGGAAGAAAGGAGGAGAAATAGAAGAAAAGTAGGTTATTCACTCAAAGCTTTACCTATGCTTCATTCCTGAAGTGATAGCCATCTTTCATAAAACCATGTGACACATTGTTTGTGCTACACACATGTGCTATACACGTGTTACATGCTAGGCCTATATGCTGTGGATATCCAGATTGATGTAACAAGTGCCACTTGTCCTTATCTCTTGCTCAAACAGCTAATATAATTAATTTTGTTCTGCTTTACATCATCCATTAAAAATGAGCAACCCATCAATATCCACAATGCCTATAGAAATAGAACAGAACGAGCCCTAACTTCAGTGATACAGCCTCCAGAGGACACCAGGGCCTTTGTTTGTGTGAGATGGAAAACTGCATCAGTGGCTTGTTTGTCATGTTTTTCACCTCATTGCTCATGTCCACTCTAATAAAAATTACTATTCAATCCAAGGGCAGTAAGAAACAATTAGTAGCCCCCTTATTGAGTTCTGAAAACAGAGAGAAAGGAAAATGCAAGGAGAGCAGAAAACACCCCACGTTGCTGCTCTGTTTGTGTGGGCTTGTATTACTATCCTCGTGGGTAATGGAAATCCCCAAATGTCCCCACAAGGATAGTAAAACAAGGAAAATTATCCCTCGTGGGGACATTTCCCACAAGAGCTATTTTGAGCTTAGGGGTTAGGTTTAGGGTTACAATTAGGGTTATAATTAGGGTTAGGGGTTAGATTTAGGAGTCATGATTATGTGTTAAGGTTAGGGAAAATAGGATTTTGAATGGAAATCAATTTTAGGTCCCCACAAGGATAGTAAAACATATGGTGTGTGTGGTGTTTGTGTGGGCTTGTATTACTTTGTTGTATTGTTTGTTTGTTTTTGTGTTTGTGCGGGGTCGGTGGGGAATTCGAGCGGAGGACGACCGTGAGGTCTAAACCTCCCTGCCAGAGGTTAGGAGATCCTTTTTCACCAGCTACAAATTACAGAGTACCAATTTAGCTTGGACGAAGTATTTTTACATCCCTCATTGGTAACCACATAAAGATGTAGGATCTTCATTTGATTACCGTGTTGCAGGATAACTTGCCTGCAATGCAGGAAATGTAAAACTTGTACTGTATTTGAGGTTTAAAAAGGCTTCTGAAGTATGTAATTTCCACTTTGAAATTTCAGACTTGATTTCCCTTACGGAAAATGTATCAACCCCTACAAAAATGTATATTTATAATTCACATTTCCTGTTGCTTCAGGACTATTTTCCTGCTGTAGCATCTGGCTCAAATTAAGATCCTACATTTGTAGTGGGTTGTTACCCACTGTCATTAGACTCGGTCTAGCATATACTTAAGCAGAGCAGCAGCTCTATTTGTATTTGTATTTATTATGGATCTCAATTAGCTGCTGCCAAGGCAGCAGCTACTCTTCCTGGGATCCAGCAAAATTAAGGCAGTTTATACCATTTTAAAAACATTACAATACATTCACATTGACATAATCGTTCCTGAATCATCTCCCTGTCTTGTAACTGTTATGGCTCTGCAACCAAACTCACAAAGCTGTCTACTCAATGCTGTTACAGCTCTTATAACTTATCTGTAGAGCTCTGAACAGCAGAATGTCATTTCATTCTGAGGGGATAGATAAGTGACAAACAGAATCAGCAGTAAGCAGACAGAGAGCTGGATGCCTGCCGACCAATCTATTATATTGTGTAGGGCTAAAGGCAAGCTGACTTTTGTATTTGTATTTATTAGGTAACCCCATTAGCTGCTGCCAAGGCAGCAGCTACTCTTCCTGGGGTCCAAACATAATAAAACACTTACATTACATATAAAACAAAATATAAAACAGTACATCATATAACGTTATTACACCACTACCTATCTACAATATAAAATGTTTAATACCACCAAACAACAATATCACAATGTATGCATATGCATGTGTCCTATAGCTTTGTGTGTGTCTCTTCACAGTCCCTGTTGTTCCATAAGGTGTATTTTTACCTGTTTTAAAAAAATCTGATTCTACTGCTTGCATCAGTTACCTGATGTGGAATAGAGTTCCATGTAGTCATGGCTCTGTGTAGTACTGTGTGCCTCCCATAGTCTGTTCTGGACTTGGGGACTGTGAAGAGACCTCTGGTGGCATGTCTTGTGGGGTATGCATGGGTGTCTGAGCTGTGTGCCAGTATTCCAAACAGACAGCTTGGTACATTCAGCTTGTCTACACCTCTTACAAAAACAAGCAGTGATGAAGTCAATCTCTCTTCCACTCTAAGCCAGGAGAGACTGACATGCATGTCATTAATGTTAGCTCTCCGTGTACTTTTAAAGGCCAGCCGTGCTGCCCTGTTCTGAGCCAACTGCAATTTTCCCAAGTCCCTCTTTGTGGCACCTGACCACACTACTGAACAGTAGTCTAGGTGCGACAAAACGAGGGCCTGTAGGACCTGCCTTGTTGATAGTGTTGTTAAGAAGGCAGAGCAGCACTTAATTATGGACATACTTCTCCCCATCTTAGCTACTGTTGTATCAATATGATTTGACCATGACAGTTTACAATCCAGGGTTACTCCAAAGAGTTTAGTCATCTCAACTTGCTCAATTTCCACATTATTCATTACGAGATGTAGTTGAGGTTTAGGGTTTAGTGAATGATTTGACCCAAATACAATGCTTTTAGTTTTGGAAATATTTAGGACTAACTTATTCCTTGCCACCCATTCCGAAACTAACTGCAACTCTTTGTTAAGTGTTGCAGTTATTTCAGTTACTGTAGTAGCTGACGTGTATAGTGTTGAGTCATCCGCATACATAGACACACTGGCTTTACTCAAAGCCAGTGGCATGACGTTAGTAAAGATGGAAAAAAGTAAGGGGCCTAGACAGCTGCCCTGGGGAATTCCTGATTCTACCTGGATTAAGTTTGAGAGGCTTCCATTAAAGAACACCCTCTGTGTTCTGTTAGACAAGTAACCTTTTATTCACATTATAGCAGGGGGTGTATTACCATAACACATACATTTTTCCAGCAGCAGACTATGATCGATAATGTCAAAAGCCGCACTGAAGTCTAACAAAACAGTCCCCACAATCTTTTCATCATCAATTTCTCTCAGCCAATCAGTCATTTGTGTAAGTGCTGTGCTTGTTGAATGTCCTTCTCTATAAGCATGATGAAAGTTTGTTGTCAATTTGTTTACTGTAAAATAGCATTGTATCTGGTCAAACACAATTTTTTCCAATAGTTTACCAAGGGTTGGTAACAGGCTAATTGGTCGGCTTTTGAGCCAGTAAAGGGGGCTTTACTATTCTGACTTTTGCTTCCCTCCAAACCTTGGGGCACACACATTCTAGTAGACTTAAATTGAAAATATGGCAAATAGGAGTGGCAATATTGTCCGCTATTATCCTCAGTAATTTTCCATCCGAGTTGTCAGACCCCGGTGGCTTGTCATTGTTAATAGACAACAATATTGTTTTAACCTCTTCCACACTCACTTTATGGAATTCAAAATTACAATGCTTGTCTTTCATAATTTGGTCAGATATACTTGGATGTGTAGTGTCAGCAATTGTTGCTGGCATGTCATGCCTAAATTTGCTAATCTTGCCAATGAAAAAAAGTATTAAAGTAGTTGGCAACATCAGTTGGTTTTGTGATGAATGAGCCATCTGATTCAATGAATGGTGGAGCTGAGTTTGCCTTTTTTCCCAAAATTTTATTTAAGGTGCTCCAAAGCTTTTTACTATCATTCTTTATGTCATTTATCCTTGTTTCATAGTGTTGTTTCTTCTTCTTTTCATTCAGTTTAGTCACATGATTTCTCAATTTGCAATACGTTTGCCAATCGGTTGTGCAGCCAGACTTATTTCCCATTCCTTTTGCCTCATCCCTCTCAACCATACCATTTTTCAGTTCCTCATCAATCCACAGGGATTTTTCCTGTACCCAAGAAAGCGAAGGTAACTGAACTAAATGACTATCGCCCCGTAGCACTCACTTCTGTCATCAAGAAGTGCTTTGAGAGGCTAGTTAAGGATCATATCACCTCCACCTTCCCGATACCCTAGACCCACTACAATTTGCATACCGACACAACAGATCCACAGATGACGCAATCGCCATCGCACTGCACACTGCCTTATCCCATCTGGACAAGAGGAATACCTACAGTGGGGGAAAAAAGTATTTGATCCCCTGCTGATTTTGTACGTTTGCCCGCTGAAAAATAAATGATCAGTCTATAATTTTAATGGTAGGTTTATTTGAACAGTGAGAGACAGAATAACAACAACAAAAATCCAGAAAAACGTATGTCAAAAATGTTATGAATTGATTTGCATTTTAATGAGGGAAATAAATATTTGACCCCTCTGCAAAACATGACTTAGGACTTGGTGGCAAAACCCTTGTTGGCAATCACAGAGGTCAGACGTTTCTTGTAGTTGGCCACCAGGTTTGCAGATCTTCTCCAAGTCATTAAGGTTTTCGAGGCTGACGTTTGGCAACTCGAACCTTCAGCTCCGTCCACAGATTTTCTATGGGATTAAGGTCTGGGACTGGCTAGGCCACTCCAGGACCTTAATGTGATTCTTCTCGAGCCACTCCTTTGTTGCCTTGGCCGTGTGTTTTGGGTCATTGTCATGCTGGAATACCCATCCACGACCCATCTTCAATGCCCTGGCTGAGGGAAGGAGGTTCTCACCCAAGATTTGACGGTACATGGCCCCGTCCATCATCCCTTTGATGCGGTGAAGTTGTCCTGTCCCCTTAGCAGAAAAACACTCCCAAAGCATAATGTTTCCACCTCCATGTTTGACGGTGGGGATGGTGTTCTTGGGGACATAGGGAGCATTCCTCCTCCTCCAAACACGCCGAGTTGAGTTGACGCCAAAGAGCTCCAATTTGATCTCATCTGACCACACCACTTTCACCCAGTTCTCCTCTGAATCATTCAGATGTTCATTGGCAAACTTCAGATGGGCATGTATATGTGCTTTCTTGAGCAGGGGAACCTTGCGGGGACTGCAGGATTTCAGTCCTTCACGGCGTAGTGTGTTACCAATAATTTTCTTGGTGACTATGGTCCCAGCTGCCTTGAGATCATTGACAAGATCCTACCGTGTAGTTATTGGATGATTCCTCACCGTTCTCATGATCATTGCAACTCCACGAGGTGAGATCTTGCATGGAGCCCCAGGCCGAGGGAGATTGACAGTTCTTTTGTGTTTCTTCCATTTGCGAATAATCACACCAACTGTTGTCACCTTCTCACCAAGCTGCTTGGCGATGGTCTTGTAGCCCATTCCAGCCTTGTGTAGGTCTACAATCTTGTCCCTGACATCCTTGGAGAGCTCTTTGGTCTTGGCCATGGTGGAGAGTTTGGAATCGGATTGATTGATTGCTTCTGTGGACAGGTGTCTTTTATACAGGTAACAAACTGAGATTAGGAGCACTCCCTTTAAGAGTGTGCTCCTAATCTCAGCTCGTTACCTGTATAAAAGACACCTGGGAGCCAAGAAATCTTTCTGATTGAGAGGGGGTCAAATACTTATTTCCCTCATTAAAATGCAAATCAATTTATAACATTTTTGACATGCGTTTTTCTGGATTTTTTTGTTGTTATTCTGTCTCTCACTGTTCAAATAAACCTACCATTAAAATGATAGACTGATCATTTCTTTGTCAGTGGGCAAACGTACAAAATCAGCAGGGGATCAAATACTTTTTTCCCTCACTGTATGTAAGAATGCTGTTCATTGACTACAGCTCAGCCTTCAACACCATAGTGCCCTCCAAGCTCATCACTAAGCTCACGCCCCAACAACACCTCCGGAGGCTGAAGAAATGTAGCTTGGCCCCTAAGACCCTCACAAACTGTATCACCACCTGGTACGGCAATTGCACCGTCCGCAACCACAGGGCTCTCCAGAGGGTGGTGCGGTCAGCCCAATGCATCACCGGGGGCACACTGCCTGCCTTTCAGGAAATCTACAGCACCCAGTGTCACAGGAAGGCCAATAAGATCATCAAGGTCCTCAGCCACCCGAGCCACGGCCAGTTCACCCCGTTACCATCTAGAAGGCGGAGACAGTACAGGTGCATCAAAGCTGGGACAGAGAGACTGATAAACAGCTTCTATCTCCAGGCCATCAGACTATTAAACAGTCACCACTAGCCGGCCTCCGCCCAGTATCCTGCCCTGAACTTTAGTCACTGTTCTAGCCAGCTACCACCTGGTACTACCCTGCACCTTAGAGACTGCTGGCGTATGTACATAGTCATTGAACACTGGTCACTTTAATAATGTTTACATACTGTTTTACCCACTTTATATGTATATACTGTATTCTAGCCATGGCTCATTCTATATAACTACTGCTGTACACACCTTTCTATTCATATACATTCCATACTGTCTATACACACCATCATATACATATATATTTATATTCTGGACTCTGACATTGCTTGTTCTGATATTTCTTGATTACTTTCTTTGAATTTTGGGGGACTTCTGTGTATTATTCTGTATTGTTAGATATTACTGCACTGTTGGAGCTAGAAACATAAGCATTTCGCTGCACCTGCATTAACATATGCAAAATATGTGTACGCGACCAATAAAATTAGATTTGAAGGGAACACAGTAGCTGGGGATCTGTGGCAGCAGACACTAAGGAGTCATATTAAAGTATTAAGAGAGCCTCTATATTCATCTCCTTCTGGACTGACTCACTTACTCACTCAACCTATAACAGTCTCCTCTCCTCTCCTCTCCTCTCCTCTCCTCTCCTCTCCTCTCCTCTCCTCTCCTCTCCTCTCCTCTCCTCTCCTCTCCTCGAAGTGGGTTTGCATGATCAAACATTCCGTTTTCCCAATTTGCTTGGGAGTGACACATTCGGTTCGTCATAACGGTAAACCAAATCATTAGTGAGGAGTTTGGCTCAGAGAAGGTCTGCTGAGGGTACTTACTTAATAAACCAGATACGTCTTTCACACAACTCCGACGGAGAGAGTCTTCAGAGCAGGCAGACTCAAACTTAAGAAGAGCAGAAAGATAACATTTAGGGGAACGAAAATTTTGTTGGCCGTGATTCACAGTGACAGAGCGTTTTGTATGAGAAAGAGCAGAGCTGCAAACAATTTTCATGAATGAACTTCAGTTCGTTGTGGGATGAAAAAAAGAAAGGCCAGGGTTTTTGTTATCCTTGAACACTCCACAAACAATTTCATTGATCTCTTATAAGAGAGAGAGAGCAGTCATGAGATGAAAGAATACAGACTGCACATTGACACACATGACACTCTCAGTGAGTAATGCCAAGTCTAAGGCAAGATACATGTACCACAGTGAACATTTTGCCAGCCTGACTGGGCCTACAAAACAACGTGTATGGCATTTCAAGAGGGAAACAGCTCAACTTTACTCTAGTCACAGTGCAGCCTAGCTTAATGCACGTCATGTGTTTGATGAAGCAGACCTGGGTTCAAATAGTATCTGGAATCTTCCAAATACTTTGAGTATTGGACAGGGGCATCAACACCTCAGCCCTGGTGTGGGTTATACCACCAAAGGAAAAAAATATAACCCGGAAAACAGCTCATCATTAGCCAGTTAAACAGAGTATATCGTAACGCCAGTTAACGTGTCTATGGTTAATTCTCGCAATTACAAGTGTGTTTGTGTGTTTGCATGTGTGTGTATGTGTGGGTGTGTGTGCACATGCGTGCACGTACGTGAGTGTGTACTAACTAAGGGCTGGGCATTAGAACTCCTAGGACATTTTGCAGCCAGGTAAGGTTGTCAAACACTTAGGCAGGTAGAGACAGGCGACTGGGCTTTTAGTCAGAGTGATCGGCACACCTACATTCCTACTGCCTGACTGACTGCCCTCTCCAAGTTCGACAACATAGACAAATATCACTAAATGTGCACTTAACACTACAAAGGCCTTGGTGACCTTGGTAACAGTTCTTATTGGGAAAACAAATAAAAAATTGCAAATCACAAAGTGTACCTGTACCTGCTCTTATTAAGCGCTTAGGATCAGAAGGAAACAAAGCTTTGCTAAAGATGATATCAACACAAAGTACTTTAAGATGGAGGCCTAGTCTGATTTGTGGTTTATTCAGAGAATCAATTTACCAAGTATGCATATCAAACAAAGAAGTGTTTCTCTGGAAAGTTTGATGCATCTTAACTCCTATAGCTACAGGTGTTTGTTTTGAATCTGAACTTCACTCAACTTTAATAAACTTTCATTCTTCACTCATAGCTTCTGGGGGTCTGAGAGGTGGATTTTGCTAAATGATGTAATCATTCTGTAATAATTAATGATCATCAATCATAACACTAGAACATGTGTCGTGTCATGCTAGGCATTTTGCGCAAACCCGTCTGATTCAGTTCACCATTGTAAAAGGAGTTATCTGCTAATGACTATGACAAGAACAAGACTTAATTTAGATTTTAACTAAATTGCATGGAGTACACAGCAAACACAGCTTCAACGCATTGGCACATCTCTATAGCTCATTGTTGCTTCTCTGTCTGCTTCTCTGAGTAACTCATCACATGCACACAATATCCTACACTGTCAACGTATAGAGAGCAGCACTAGGCTAGCTAACCTTTAAACACAGTACTTAAGTATCTCTCTCAGTTCCCCATCATTACAGTGTTTAAGCCCTCCTAATTTAGCCCTGGTTGGCGGCCAAAAGCATCTCCATGGCCCTTCACCACCGCTGACCGTTTTAATGCCTCCTGCTTTAAGCCGTGTCCCTACGAGGCCAGAGGCATTAGCTATCATACATTTCCAACCACACTGGCTCTGTCTCTGGGAAACACAGAGCCACTACTGGATCAGACTGTATAATACTGTACCAACCACCCATACTTTTTCTCATCAAACAGCTATTGTTAACTTATAGCCCTTTAACCAACAAGGCAAATTCATATGAGATAACAGGCAAGACCCTCATCTCATCCAAATGACAAATCTCTAATGCAAAACGTTTTCAGTGGGGACTGTTCCATAGCTGAATAAGAACCAAAATGGATTTGAAATGCATTGTGGGAAAAGTAAATTAACAAAACACAAAAGCTAAAAGGAGAACTGTTTCTAACCTCTGGGTCCCGAAGCCTTGAAGTGCCACCTCAGCCTAAAGTTTCCTTTCCATGTGTTTTTCATTTGCCCTTTTTCCTTATAAAGCAGAATACCCCTGTTCCTGTTTACATTTGAGTAATTTAGCAGATGCTCTTATCCAGAGTAACTTAGAGGAGCAAAAGGGAGTTAAGTGCCTTGCTCAAGGGCACAGAGAGATTTTTCACCTAGTCAGCTCGGGATTTGAACCAGCGACCTTTCGGTTACTAGCCAAATGCTCTTAACCGCTAGGCTACCTGCAGCCCTGTTGAACTATAAAAAGGAACTTTTTTTGACAGAATGGTTGAGAAGGGAGGGGTGGGGGTGGGGGGGGGATGGGGGACTGTACAGAAGCAGGAGCACTAAGTGCTGGGAAATATATTCATCAATCTTACTGGGAATCTTACCTCGACCTTTGCTGCATTCTGCCAATGTCTCTATAGCAACCGACTGAGGCTTTTTATTCCTGCCCAGGGAATATTTGCCAGTCTCGCTCGGGTGTCGGGGCTGGAGTTCAAATTTACTGTTGGACGGTTGCTGCTGCTCCTTCCTCCTAAAGCGTCTGGCTATGAGCTGCCATAGGCTGGGCTCCTCCTGGGCTGGTTTAGTAGAGGAGGACAGTTTGGCTGGGTAGAGGGGCACCTCCATCTCCTTGACTTTGCCCTGGCTGTGGTACTGAATTAACTGCATCCCTCCATCATCGTCCCTTTCGTAAGGGGGAGGCAGGGTCCTCCCGGTCAGGTAGGAGAAGGGCCGCGAGGGGAGAGATGTCTCCTGCTCAATACTTTTAGTGTGTGAGCGTTCCTCTGCTGTCACATCAGATATGTCCACTCTCTCCCGCGGCTGGTTCCTCCTGATCCGCAGACTGAGGCTCCGGCGTAAGGAGCTCAGGGTCTTCTTGGGGGCGTCTGGCTTGCTGCTGGGCTTGGAGCCTGGCTCTGGGGCTCCCTCCTTCTCCTTGTCCTGGGCTGGTCGGCCGAACAGCTTCCAGCGGCCGAATAGACCTCCCCCCTGGCTTCCTCCTTGGCTGTCCAGCTCTTCCTGAGACCCAGAGGCCTTCTTCCTCAGCTCCAACACAGTCATACTGACCGGTCTCTGTTTCCAGGTCTGCTGCCGGACCCTGGGGACCACCTTCTCCTCAGCCCCCACCACCGTCCACTGAGGGAGCACCCCTGGCTTAAGGCCGTCCACCGCCCGCAGCTCTGCCCTCCTGGTCCAGCGCTGCTGGGGGGGACCGTCCAGAGACCTTGTAGCCCCCCTCCTGGAGGTCTGCTGGGAGTGGGACCCGGGCTCTGATAGGGCAGGGTTAAGGTTGGTGCCTGCTAGCATGCACACACTCCTGGGCCTGTCCTGTCTGTCCTGGTCGCTTAGCGAGCCTCGATGCTGCCTGGCTGTGGCTCCAAACATGCTCACCGCCCTCCTGTTGTGTGGAGCAGTACCGTCCTGGGATGGCCTCCTGCAGAGCACAGCCCGGAGTTGAGAGCTACCACCGGCCAGAACACCACCATGATGCCCAGGGAGAGGCCCTTCAGTCTGGGGAGAAACGTCCTGTCCCTGGATCTCTACCTGGGTCTTCTTTTGCTCTGGAGCTGCTGTGGCTGCCTTTACCTCTACTCCTACCGCTGCAGTCTCCCTGTCTGTCTGAGAAGGATGGGCTGCTGCTGGAGCTGCAGAGTTATTGGAGAGCTGTTGGAGTTGGAGAAACCGGTCCGTCTCCATATTTCTTCCTGCCTCCTCCTCCTCTACCTCCTCCTCCTCCTCCTGCACTGCCTCCTCCCTCCTCCTCCCCACTCTGCCTGTACAGCTCAGGGAGGGCCACCTGCCAAGCTCCTGCCGTGCCGTGCCCAGCCTGAAGCGTCCCTCCCCCCCCAGCAGCGCCTGTGGCCCTGCCCTAGTGCTCCTGGCTGCAGGATGACTCTGCTCCAGGGAGGTGTGTCTGGCGGCCAAGCCCGCCCCCATCCCCACCCCCGAACCCACCTCCTCATGCCCCAAAGTTCCATTCAGGATGACAGAGATGTGGTACACTGTGGTCCTACCTCCTCCTGACTGGTGGGCTGTTACAGCTTTAGTTGTGGCACCGGGGATAGTCCGCTCCGTTGCCCGACTGTTCAGTAGTAGCATGGCACTACCCTGCACTCGCCCACACACACAGGCATGCACGAACTAGCCTAACTTACACGCACACACCTACATACACACAGTCGCAAAACAAATGCAATCTCACACTCCTCTCCCCGGTGTGGTGGTGTTTAGGGTTGCTCTCTGAGTCCTTCGCTTCCAGGCTGCATTCCAACCCCAGGCATAATCCTTCACCTTTGACATGGGGAAAGAAACTTCAAACAAGCTTGAGCAAAGCCTCTGTGCCACCTCCATAACCCTGCAGCCTTATACTCAGCATTCAGCAGCAGCACCGCAAAAGGCTGGATGGTGGCTGGCTGGTTGCATTCTCTCCTCTCCTCTACTTTCTTCTTCTACCTGTCCAACGTGAGGGTGAGCCACAGCTAAAACAGCCATTCCACTGTTTGCTTTGAAACAAACAAACACATGTTTGTCATACAGTCCCTGCGAGGCCATGAGCAACATATGAAAAACTGAGACATCCTTCTTGGCAAGTTGCGAGTTGTGAGCAATCCTTTTCTGCCTGCGGTGCAGACAAATCCCTTCATCTCTGAGCCCTTGCCTGCCGTGCGTAGCGTGAAGGAGTGTGTCTGTTTGAACTTTCCAGCAGCCTCCCAACCCCCGGGACTGTCAGAAAACAAGGACCGGACCCCAACGGGTTGGCCACTCGGCATTAAAACACACCGACTCCACTGAGCTGAGTTCCTCTACGGGATCTCTAGAGGGATTTCAGCCCCCAGAGAGTAAAATGGATGACAGTGAGTGAACAGTAAGAATAGGATCCAGAGAAGAGGGAGCTGAGCATCCACTGCTGCTGCAGCATTCAGAACAAACTGCTATGAAAGAGAACTTTGTGTCCCCAGAGCCTCCTCTCTCTGTCACTCTCTGTATTGATCCCTCCCTCCCTCTCCCTCAAGTTCTCTCTTGCAACCAAACAAGTGGGGATAGGGAAAACACAAAGGCAGAGATTTTCCCATGGCTTTCTATTGAAGGAGGGAGAGTGAGTGGAAGTACAAGCAGTTCTGGCTTCCACGTAGCCAAGTTTTAGACGCTACATAAAGCACTGCTAATCCTAGGGTCCTGCAAAGGCAGACCACATGGGTTGCACACATGTGGGTCGGATAGCTTTAAAGGGCAAGATTGGACAAATATGTTCTCCAGCTCGTTGTAAAAAACCTAAATGCAGAAAGTCGCCTAATTGGGTGAAAGTAAGATGAATCACAGTCACTGCTATAGTAATTGCCACCTAACCTGACAGCAATAATGGGCTACGGTTCCAGTGGATCGAACCCAGTGTTTACATACACATGCACTGACAAAAGCACACACACGCTCGCACATATGCACACACGCTCTCACACACTTAGTCACTCCAGGAATAACCAGACTATCATTTATGGCAGGCAGCAATTTATTTTTTACAGTGTTGTTAATTACTGAAATAATCTGATGAATTAGTTGATATGTAAAATGTCACCTCTACAAAACACCACTAAGTAATAATTACAAATCTGGCTTTGACGCCTTCCCAAAATATATAAATTAACCTTTTGAGAGGAACAATTATTAGCTCATAAGTCATTGTCAGTAACTGATTGGTTGGCTGCCGTAAATGGATGCATATTCAGCTTGTTATTTCAATGTCATTTCAGGCTCTAAAATGAATTTCACTGGATAATCTGCCACATTCCAGCTCTATATTCAGCATTGGCAGAGCTTTGGTGTTAAATTAGGCATTGGTCAATCAAATGGCAACCACTCTGAATAATGGCACAACACAAAGCTGACCAACTGGGTCAAGCCCTAATTCCATATTCTTATCTACACGGGACACTGATGCAATTGATGATGTCGTCAAAAGCAGCGCCCCCATGTGGTTATAGAGAGAAACATGCTGTTAAGGGCCACTGGAAAATAGCCTCACTTGAGATGGAAATCTTTTCTAAGTAGGCTATAACTGCTAAATAAAGTACATCATTTTTTAACACTCCATACATGACACCAAAAAACGGAACAACATATTACGGTGTAGTAACACAATTATACCAGTAAAAACATTATATGAACATGTTTTTACATAATACTTTAGTAATTAGTCATCAGAGCACATGTAGAGAACCAGGGTTGTATGAGGCCATGATCCTGACAGGACATCTGGACAGATTACATCTGGCTGGCCCAATCAAAGCAGCACCCAGACAGCATGTGTCAACTGGATCATCCCAGCAAAAGGAAAACAGCCAACTTCTCTCTATACAGAACAACCTCAGGCCCTTGAAAGATTCAGAGACATATACATGTTCTCAAAATGGAGCACTGCTGTATTCAAAATAGTAGTAGCCTAATTTTCAAAAGGGTGACTTTATAGCTAACATCTTTAATCTATGTCTCCATCTAGGTGTTTAGCAAGTGTCTTATTTGCATAACAGGAGTAGATACTGAGTAGAGAATGAGTGATTTGAAGTGGTTGATGTTATCTCACACTCATACAGTACCACACCCACTGGCATGCCATTGTCTAGTACAGTTTATTGTGTTGAAGGGTAATAATCCTTCAAGGCATTCCAAGCATCTTTCCAGGAAGTCTGGGCTGTGGATACGGTCTTTCAGACAGGCTTCTCAAATAAGAAACCAGCCAAGGTTTTCTGATTTGGCCAGCTACAACACTTTATGAAAACTGCTCAAATACCAGCTAGCAAATAGAGTCATACTCCAGATGCATTGCTTTGAGAGCTTGCTGCTTCAACTGAGCTGTTAGTCATATCGATATGTGGACCTGCTGTGTAGTCAACATGTGTGTTACCTGCATCCAGGTTTGTGTTACATGCATCCAGGTAGCCAGGGTTGGGAATAACCTGAGGCTCTTCAGCCAGTAGACAGTCCTCTTCGCTCCAGTGGATGTGGTGGTGCCTGGTCCGTCTGCGGCCCCCGAAACACAGCAGCATTGTCCCACACTTTCAAGAGGCACAACCTGACTTGACTTATTCCTTTAGCTCCTAGTGGACCAAAGGGCTCACAAGTCACAACCTAACCATACAGGCAAGCTGAGATGTTCAATCATCATCATCATCTTGTGGTTTTATTCCACTTCTTCCTCTCCTCTTTTCATTAATATTCTCTCTGTCCTCTCAGGTTAGTCCTTCATATTTCAACTTCCAGTGTAAACTAAATCTGGATCCAAAATATAGTATTTGCCCGGTCCTGCGTATGATGTAGTCCCAGCAGACAGCTCTGGAGTGTTGTGGCTGTGTTCTAACACACTGACCTGGTCAGGAAGACACGGCCATGCGTCAGGTGTTGGGACGGGGAGCCGTTTCCTCCTCCTGGTAATCCTCTGAGCTGAGAAGGAGGAGTCTAAAGGCCTTATACCTAAAACAACTCTGATTGGATTATTAGGCTGATCCTTGGGCCCATGGCCAGAATGGGACGTCCATTAATAAGCTCTGGTCAGCCATAGGATCTGGCTTTCAGTCTCAGTCCATTCCCTCCCGGCTGGGGTAACAGAGGAAGGATGTGTTGTCTCTCTCTCCTTCCCTCTATTGACTGACTGCTGCTACACACATTGTGGCCCCAGTCCTGTAACTTTATCTATATGGCAGTTGGGAGGAGGATTTCTGATAAACTGGCTCGACTGGCCATGTCTTGGGGTTTTCTGTGGGTGTGGGTGTGTGTGTGTGTGTGTGTGTGTGTGTGTGTGTGTGTGTGTGTGTGTGTGGAGTGTTATCTAATCTGTGCTAGTCATTGTGACGTATACAGAGTGCATATGGGTAGCAGGGTAAAGCTCATGTTGTGCCTACATGTTGGCCTGAGGCTTTCCATTGTTCCTGTGTCACTTTCTAGCCCGAGGCAAGACTAACTTAAGGTTAAGACACCTCATAGACACTTAACACATAATAAACACAAAATATTGTTACAGTGTTATGATTACAAACAGCAATGCTTTTGTCAGTATTAGAAGTGGCGGTGGTAGAGGGTATGAGACCTCTAGAAAGTGTAGACTTACTTCAGAAGTAATGAAAGATGTAATACAAAATATATGACGTTTCATGATACACATCATCTCATAATGTTCTCCATAACTGTGCTAGGCCTAGGGAATTAACCGTTTAGACAGCCACATTAATTTAAATTACCAATGAGACAGAGGTAAAAGACAAAATATTGGTCTGGCAAACTAACTCCCTGAGAATAAATATTTAAATGCAGTCTGCAAGCTGTAGCTCCAATTAAATTATGGAATCTGTCAGAAATAAATTTTTCTCTCTAAAGGAATGTAGTTTCCACTGTAAACCAATGTGAGGAGGAGGACATTTGTTTGGGCTATCCTCAGGGAAATAGCATCTCCTGCATTTAATTCAGCACAGGTCTAATTAAATAGTTTATAGAAAAACTCATTATGGCCCTGTAATTAGTTTTTTCTCCTTCTCTCTCTTTTGCCTTCCTCGCTCGATTAAATTCAAATAGGGCCGATGTTATCCAACACTATTTGCCAGGCAGGATGCAGTACGTTTCCACCGGGGGGGTGGGGGGAGTCACATCACTCTGACTCCTGTTGGAACCAGTCTTCTTCTAGGGCAACTCTGCTGCTTGAGACGAATGTTCAAAGGCTTCTGTTCTGTATTGTATTGTTACGTAAGCTCACTTTTTAGTAGCCTACGTAGCGCTGCTCTGCCGTGGATTCAAATCTAGACTAGAGCATGCAGACAGTTTTCAGAGAGTTGATTTGAGAGAGTCATGACGACAACAGAAGAGAAGCCAGAAGGTAGTACAGTGGTTTTAAATGAGGCCATTTAAGAACCTCAATGGAATTTGAAGCTGCCTGTGTACTATCACAGAGAAATCCTATTTTCTGGGAATAAAAGCTGTGAAGAGAACCCTCCTTACCCAGTATGAAAAAGTTCGAAAATGTATGCACTCATTACTACTGTAAGTCACTCTGAATAAGAGTCTGCTAAATGACTCAAATGTAAATGTTACCCAATAGTCAAAGGTTTCCACTGGGTGAAAGGATT